TAAAAGTTATTATCATAGTAAATCAAAGTGTAAAATTATCACTATAGTAAATCAAAGTGTTGGTTTTACTTTCACAGTAAAGATATTCAGTTTTGCGGATTTCTCTTATTTAACCAAAGACAACTTCTGATTTTTTTTATTTATTTATATAGTTTTTATATATATATATTTGTGTAAACAACGAGAGAATTCAATGCACATGGTATGCAATGCTTTTTTTATTTGAATTTTTATTGTTTGAATAGATTATTCTCGAAACTAAATATTTTTTCATGACTGCTGATGACAATGTATTTTTAAAATGAATAAATATTTGTTTAATTCTCATTTCCATTTGTAGTAAATTAGTGGAAGACCCACTGGCATTATGCAAGTATACAAATGCCATTTAGATTCAGACCAGATGTGTAAAGATATCACCTTAAACACAACGATGTAAAGTACATCTAAGTAAAAACTATAGTAAACCAATTTTTTCATTTCCTGCTATCATAATGGGGCTGTAGTGGTACCACCAAGTGGTGCCAAGTTAAAGTTATCAGTATACAAGTTCATATTGATCACTGTAGTTGATCAACGTTTTCAAAGTTATCACTTAAGTAAATCAAAGTGTCAACGTTATCACTATATTTAACTAGTTTCCATAGTATGAAAGTTTTCTTACAGTCTAGGCTTTTGACATCATAGACAGGCCATTTTTTAAATAAAAATGGAACTCGTAAATCTACCTATCTTGTCATTAGTCATTTTCAAAATAATTTTATTAAAAACATTCTGATAGTACATACAAGTACTCTGAAGTAAATATTTAAAGATGCTTTCAAGAGTTTCTGATTGACAATATCTACGTAGTTTTTGGAGATCTCGTCTTCCAACAATTTGTCAGAATTCTCATGGGCACAATTGCTTCCCGTTGTTAGCAGACCTATTTTTGTATTTATATAAAGCAGAATTTATTCAAAGTCTGCTACATGAGAAGAAGTAGACGCTTGCTGTGGCCTTCAACTCGACATTCAGTTATATCGATGACGTATTATCAATTAACAATAGTAACTTCCATCATTTGTCGACTCGATATATCCCAGTGAACTTGAAATAAAAAACACCACAGAGTCTGATGCATCTGTTTCATATTTGTATATTTTTCTAGAAAAAGACATTAAAGGTAACCTTACAACAAAACTTTATGATCAACAAGATGACTTCAACTTTTCTATCGCCATCTTCCCTTACTTATATAGCAATATACCTTTATCTCCTGTATATGAGGTTTATATCTCCCAGTTGATTCGATACTCAAGAGCATGCTCTACAAATGAACAATTTCTAAAACGACGCAAGGTATTGACAAACAAGTTGATGAAACAATTTAGGATATCAACAGTCTCGTTTTAAGTCATCATTTGGCAAGTTCTATAATCGAAACAATGACCTTGTCAGCAAATAAAAACTATCATTAAGTCAATTGTTGACTACTTTCATACTAATTGTTAGGCCATTATTAAAACACTGAATTTTCCCAAGGCGGGTGTGACTGGTCGACAGGGGATGCTTACTCCTCATGGCACCTGATCCCACCTTTGATGTCTTTTAGAGGTCCATGTTTGCTCTGCTCCCGATCTGTATTTTTCCTTGGACTTTTGAGCTTGATTACAGTTCGTTATCTCCATATTTCAGTTTAGAGTAATACCGTAAAACTTCTTATTCATGTAAACAACATTTCCTGAAGGAGTGTTATGCTCCAAGTCTTTCCTTTACAGATACAATAACATGTATAAGCATTTCCGACATGTTAAGGAACTCTGTACGGATGTATTGCATGTGGCCTCAAACTAATTTCTCGTTACATGCAAGGAACTTAGTATTAATTATTTCGGATTCATGATAATCCTCTTGAATCGTGTATATTACCGTTAGACAATGACATCGGGCTGATAGTCCTTCAATCGATTTCCCAAAGGCAACATGAAATTCTAATCCTATAACATTTCTTCTGCAGCCAGACAGACTCGAATCACTTCTTGGGTTATTCCTGTGAATTTTTTAATCATTGAATTTCATGAAAGTTAGATGTTAGAAGCATTTCATGAAAGTTAGAAGTTAGCAGCAAATGATGGTAATAGATGAAAGTTTATGACTTGATTTATATTCATACTAGTATCCTTTTTTACACACATTAAGTACACCTGGCTAATCACTGAACTCTTCCGATAAACTTTTCTAAGAATACTGCAGAAGTAATGTTAAGGTTCTATTGTATAATAATCTTAAAAAAAGAAGAAGAAACTGAATGGAATTCAGCAGGAATACCAGATTTGAAACTCGTTCTTAATGACATTCTACTATTTTATTCTGCTTAGTAGTTGGTAATTGAATATCACAGCCACCAGTTGAATGTCTTACACGTTCCGATGAGGAAAATTCTAATACTGCTATTGAGAACCATTTGCTTTTTTTTCTTTCAAATGTCCAATTTTGCCTTTTTTAGTATAATATAATTTAGAATACTATATTTCAAAATCATTCATAAGTACAGAAAATGCAGTTTTACTGCCTATGCATAATCATAGGCACTTGGATTGATTGAGTGGTTGATTGTATGTTGTTTTACGTCCCATTCAAGAATTTTTCACTCATACAGAGACTTCACCGTATACCGTGAAGGGCTTTAAATTTAGACCTACACTTTGCACTCAGGGCCACTGAGCAGTGAGGGTTCTTTATCGTGCCAACGCCCACCGTTACACGGGACCTTGGTTTTTAATGTCTTATCCGCAGGTACCGCGACTTTCACTTCTAATGCCTACTGCTTGGCAAATGAACAGTCATTACCTATGTTTACAATGTACGTCTTAGATTTGACGCGGCACGGCGAACGAGAATCGAACCCGAGCCTCCAGGATCACGAAGCAAACGCAATACCACGAGACTTCCGTCATAGGGACTTAGAACATTTTGCAGAAACTGATCATGAAAGATATCAAACAGTTTTGTCTGTATTTTCCCACATACATACAATCAAACTATGTTTCTTTCCACATTTTTATTACAATATGCATATTTCACATTCTCACAATCACATATTTACTAAGAGTTTAACTTACACACTCACAAAGTATCATTAGTTTCACACTGCTATCTATTTATAGTAACAATCACATATCTAGTTATGAAGCTTTTTTCATGTTATTAATAATATCAATTGATGCAACTACAAATTACCTAAGGATCGAAAATCCTAACATGCAAAAGTAAGGCAAAATAATAATTTTTACTTTAACATTTACGAAAGTAATTTTCATTTATACAAAAGAGACATGCATGATTAAATTTATTCTAATTCTGTCCACAGAACTTCAAAATAATTTTTAAAACTTCATTGCAATTACTTAATACCAGGGTTTTGTTATGATGTTTATTCAAAATATTATGGGTCAAAATACACATTTCTGTATAGATCGAAATAAAAAAATTCGAAAGTAATTTTTACTAAAATCTCCATACTTAAAACATATATTTAACCCTCCATTAAATTCTGTAAATGTTCTATGACAGATAATCAAGCATGCTCTTTTCACAATCTTTAAAAAAAAGATTGATAGCAATGAAGTAGCTCAGACTTCAAAATTCTGATTATCATAAACATTTCATTTAAAAATGTTTTATATCAAAGTGCATTTGAATAAGCCAATCTTTATTGTAGTACACATATTTTACAAACAAATATCACAGAAAAGCTTTTATCTTTGATTTCTGGCGAGTGTTTACTCGATTGAAAATTGATTTGATTAAGCATGTTATAAGCTTATGGCACAAAAACCTTAAAGCCATTTTGAAATAAGATAAGCATCTTTTTTCTTATTTTAAATTTCTACTTGAAATGCATTTAAAAATTCAACAGAGACTAAAACTAGCAATTGTCCAAATAAACAAATTGACAAACTTTCAATTCAATTTTTATATATATATATATATATATATATATATATATATATATATATATATGTATATATATATATATATATATATATATATATATATATATATATATATACAATTTAAATCATTGTTATAATTTGTAAATTGAAAAATTAAAAAAAAATGGTTCTTAACTGAATTCTTATTAAGACTCCATATGCTGTAATACATAAAACTATAACTTAATAAAAATATTTCTGTTTCCCAACTACAGTTTTAACTCCTATTTAAGTTAAGAAGTCATACTTATAGCCTCTATATGATTTTTTTTTTATAAATGCCATATGCTAAGAGTCCAAAGAATTATTTTTTCCACTTAAAAAGTATACACATGTAGTGATAAAACCATTTCCTGAACTGCATAGTCAAGTAATTCCATTTCATTATATTTCACCCTATGTGTTAAGCATAATGCTTGAAGTTTGAATATTTTATTCTCATGAGACTTCTCCAAATTACTCCATTCAGTCACGAAAATAAATATATCTAGGGGAAAAAAATCATGTTGCAAAACCTTTGATTTATTTGAATTACTTTATAGAGGGAAATTTTCGCACCTATTTTTTCCCCTTTTGCCCTCGCTGCACGTAGCTGAATTTTAAGGAGGCAAATTCAACGAAGGTAGATTTATTTCTTAACACAACTGTGCATGGGTGAATCTAAAACGGGGCAAAATAGCATGCAAGGGTAATTGGGAAAATATAACACAAGGTGAAAATAACCCTGCATACAGTATTATATTGTATATTTTTCTGACAAGACTTAGTGATGAAGGAAAATATATATGTATATATTAAAAATACCAAGAGTGTCTCTATAATAAACTGAGACTAATTGAAACTGCAATGGACAAACTAGAATTTCTGTCATGTTAACAAGAGATTTGTTTTTGTGTTAATTTATGTTGATGGCACTTCTGAGCAGAGATTATACAAATTAGGAGAACATGACTGGAATGATAAATACATCACACTTACCAGGATTTTTGTTTAAAAAAATTCAATTTGTTGTTTTTATTATATGACCTTTTATTTTTTAAAGCTCTTTTTTTTTTACTGAGAAGACATTGTCTCTGACTTTTCATGATTAAAAAAATTATTCTGGACCAGAACAAAAGTTAAAATACAACTAAATAAAAGACACTCTATATATTTAAAACATTATATGCCTCAATTTCTTCTGCATAAATTAAATATGGGATCCAGATTTTTCTCTTGGAATTTTCTCCTACTTTCCTGTTCTAAAGACTGATTACACAGAAATCATAAATGTTTTTTATAGCAGATTATATAATAAAATGCAAGTACATGTATAATTACAGAGGATGGAAAAAGAAAAAGCCCTCATTAGAGACTTACATAATGCAGAGAAAAAAAATTCAACCAATGCAATGAAAACAAATAATGTCAAAAGGAAGAATTCAGTTCAAGGGTTTCTATGAAATGGTCCATCCTAATCAATTTCCTTAACTTGTCTATAATGCCTAGCTACTTAATATTCTGGGAGAAATAATAATTATCAAATTTATATCATAATGAGAAATCAAAAATTTGTGCAATTCGCCATACCTTTCCTCTATATCTAAAATACCACATAACAGAAACTGAATCTCACAATTTCTCCTCATCAGCACTAAATAGACACAAAACTCTCAATGGCAAAATCATCGTCAAATAAATATTTTTATGGAATGTCTGCCCTAGAATTAAATTTTAATTAAATGAGTTTACAAAAGTTGCTTGAAATCTTGATCAGTATTTCTTTTTTTCAAAAATCCAACATAAGATTTATACATATATGCATAAAAAAAAACTAGTATGAAGAAATATGAGAAATCTGCAAAATAATATAAAATAATTTTTTACCTAAAACAAAATATTGAATGTTAGGATATTGGTCCCATAGTGGAATCCTCAAAACTAATATCTGTACCCATAGTAGTCCACATAAACAAAAGCATTAGACTGCTTCATAGCTTTCAGAGCAGAGAGGTTTTTTCGGGTTTTCTTCGCTGCCAGGCGATTAAGTCTGTGTTGCTGTTGCTCCATAAAGCGAGCCCTTCGAGACTCGGAATTCTTTTTTCTAATCCATCTGTAATAACAAATCTTATTAGTTAGCACTAAAAACCAAAAACATTTTTTTTCATCACAAAATCTTTTATCACAATCTTTCAAACTCCCAAAAGCCTCGCAGACTAGTTTTTGATTCTTTGGGAAATTTTCGGATTTAATTTCTTCATGCTGCAGTTTATCTCCATGCAGTTGAAGAAAATTCATCAAAGGTATGTAACTAAAATTTTAACTTGATGATTATTCTGTCAAAATCGAAAAGCGTCAGAAAAGACTATTGCTCTCCGAAGCGTGTTAGCTTTCCTGGTCCTTCTAGCCATCAATCTCTGTAGTTTGATTTTCTGGCGTTCGTTAGCACGGTTTTTCCGAATTTCTGCATTTTTTTGCCTAAGCCACCTGCAATGACGAAACAGTTGTTACCACAAATTTTTACAGAAGAAAAGAAATCCTTAAAATCCAAATTAATCTTCATGACTCTTCAAACTTTTATCCATGATTAATACTATCATCATAATGTTATCAAAGCCAAAATCCTTTCACACAACAACTGAAAATTTTCACAAAATCTACTTTCACACTTCAAAAACTTGGCCTTTTCTGGTTTGCTCAACATCTTTTGCTAGATTTAATCAAATGATTTCTTAAATTTGTGGTAAGCAAGAGTTTCATTCAAGGCAAATTTTTATACTCAGAAAATCAGACTTGAAATGCAGTGGATTGCTAAGATTTTGATTGGGCAGTACTGCATCAGTCAAATAGTTTTACATTGACTGTTGGACAGCATCCACTATGAGTTAAATAAAAAAAAATGCTGAATATTTACCGGTATATGGATGAATTAAAAGTGAATAAATGGTGATTGAAAACAATTGCAGTGAAATTTGTGAAATTAAAAAAAAATCATGATAGGTTACATTTAAAAACTGAAAACCCCTTTCAGGTCAGTTGAACAAGTTTCATGCACCGTGCAGTGTTGAAAAAATTATTTTTTTTTTAAAAATAAGCTTAAAGAATAAAATAAAACAGAAAAGGCCATATTAGTAGTTTATAATCACAGTTATTTCTGAAAATAAAAGGTACACAAACACAAGCATCACATGATCTTAGTCTGCATGCATGACCTTTGGTGATGCTAGTGGGATATAACTTTACAAGGTTATTTCTTGAATAATTTAAATTTCTCTCCTTTTATGCAAATTACTTAAATATATCAGGATATTGTAAGTTTCTGTGCTTGACCAAGACACTCATATTTATTTGTAGTAGTAATTATACCTAGTAGTCAATTTATCCTAGCTTCAGAATCTGATATTTACAACAAATTGAGTCAATAAAAATACTGCTGATTTCAATGTACATTGGAATCAAAATTCTCTGATGATTACTGCTAAATTAAAATGAATTTTCTGATAAAACAATACCATTTCAGATCTCACTAAATACCATGAAGATTGCTAGCAACTATTCATTGGTATGTACATGTATTAGCTCTAATTAAGCCAATTAAAAAAAAAAAAAATGTAAAAAGCACCATTAGGAGTGACACGGTCAGAAAACACACAGAGGGAAAACACACTTGACTAAATAGTGGACACTTACTGTCTAAAAGCCTGGTCACATTCCTGCCGAGAGCGGATGTAGAAGCCATCGGTGGATTCCATTTCCTCGCGTCTCTTCAGCAATTTTTCTTGTTTAAGCTGTTTCTGTTTATTCTTTAGCCAAGTTGAGTAGGCTTGCTTAACTTCTTCATCCTGAAATTAAATCATATTTTTGGGAACTTATTTACATTTGATAATGTAGGTAAAGGTGAGAGAGAAAAAGGGGGGGGGGGGAGAGAGAGAGAGACTCTTATGGCACAGGTATAATTCTGTGTCATCTCTGAAAATGATTCACTCAACAGTGAAGACCATTTCCGTAAATAAAATCTCTTCTACATGCAATATCAGCAAGTGTTTGAGCAATTACTCTGAAAAGAAGGAGTAACATTTTAATCTCAAAATGAAATGTAATAATTTGAATATACATATTTATATAAAATTTTAAAATAAAGATTACTAGTAATTACATTGTACATGTACGTATATCTATGTCAGAATATGTTTTTAAAACTGCTTTTTTGTTTTATATACAATACTATATATACTCTGGTACCGGTAATCATCCAGCTTTGCATAACAAAGTTTTTTTTTGTTTTGTTTTGTTTTGTTTTGTTTTTTTTTTTTTTTTTAATTAATTAAGTGCTCTGACTGCCCAGTATAAGACTTAGAGAAGAGGTATTATACTCTGCAATGTGCATGTGATAATTGCTTGACAAAATTATCAGTTCACTTTTTTTTTTTAAAAAATCCTTTAAAAAAAGCCACATGTCTATCCTTGTAGATGTCATTTTTCTTTAATGATCTGCATGTTTAAAATGACAGAATGAATTTGAAATGCTAAATTTTTAAATAAAATAAAAAAAACCTTTCAATTTCTTTAATAAGGAATGAAGCTATTAATTCTTTTTAACCCTTTGCATGTTACAAGTAAAAAATTAAATTATTAAGAAATAATGCATATGATCATACTAAATTAAATCAATATGTCCAATTTATCTGAAAAATGACATATGAGGTTTGACTTATTCAACTGAGTGGTTTTGTTTCACCATAAATAAAGCTCTTACATTCAACCACTGTTCATGTTTTGGAATACTTTATTTAATGGCTGGATCTTTAATTACTAAAGGCTTGTATTATACTATGTATAGCTCTGATAGAATTACTAGCAAAGATTACAGGTACACTGTTATATATTAATTACCTGACAGTTCATTAGCAAGATAAATTCTAAAAATTGGAATGAGGAGTGGAGTTATATTGATAACAAATCTGAAGTTATTAATAATATTTGCATGTATAATATCAAACAGTGCTTTAGTACATGTATGTCCACAGCAGGTGGTGCGTTTTAATAGACTGAAGTGTTGTACTATTAATTCGAGTGAAAAAAAAATCATTTCTACTTCAGATTTTAGCTTAATGTTCTCTTTTACAGAATTTTGGAAATGGGAATAATTATATAAATGGATGAATCAAGAGATAATATTTCAGACATGATAAGGCCTCAATATTTCTAACAACCCTGACATCAGATGATGTTGCCTCAACAGCTATGACACATGCATCCATAGTTCTCAGAATCTGTTTGGGTAAATGTGCATGAAATCAGAGAGCTAGTATGTACTTCATCAATTTTATGAGGAAACCAAATAATTCTAAATGACAGTGGATCGTGCTTATTTGTTTATTAAAGCTCGTTAATGTCTAAATATGCCATACATGCAATGTTTTAGATAAATTAAATAATGCTGTTTAATTTGTCAAAATTAAAGGGAAAATTAATTAATTCTGCTTTGAGTGATTTGTATATATATATATATATATATATATATATATATATATATATATATATATATATATATATATATATATAATATATATATATATATATATATATATATATATATATTCAATTTTAAAGAAAAGTTATAATAAAGAGAGCTGCAATGGTTTAAAAGTAAGGATTTGAAAGTTATTTTATTGTGAAATTACAGGTAATAATAAAATGTATATCATTAAGTTTTAACTATAAAATATGTTAACTGTAATTAATAGAGGTGTTACATTTTTCAAGAGTCAACCAAAACCAGAAATGATTTTTTTTTTGCAACACTGCTTGACCATATCAAACTCATACAATTCCCACACTCTTTTCCAAGTTGCAAATTACAGTTTTGCCAAAGATTCTTTGCATCAAACTCCTATTCTTCATAAAGGTGTCCGACCATTGACCCTGCTGTGCATAAAAAATAAGCAGAAAAAATTTAGTCTGTGCCAGAAACTAGAATTCTAAATCTTCTAATGTCCCACTCAACCAGAGGCAAACTGGTGGTTTCTTAGGACAGGGTGGGCTAAAATTTGATCAATGCATGGTTAAAATTTTCTGTTCCTCAAAGGCTATATCTACCAGACAAATGATTTCTAGCAGATTGCAAATTATATGACTGCTTTTCCCTCACCAGACTAAATTAAATACATGTAACTATCTATTCCCCCCCCCCCCCCCCAAAGCAATACAACATTTGTTATCATGCAAGGAAAATATATGACACAGATCTAATTTTTCAGAATTGTTTTTTTTCTCCTCAACAAAATGTGAAATATATACAGTCAAACCCCATTATCTCAAACTCCATGGGACCGAGAAAAGCTTTGAGAAATCTGAAGATTTGAGATATCAGAGACAAAATCCTTAAAGAATAAGTGGTTGGGACTTCTAAATTACTTTGACATATCCATGGTATTCGAGATATCAGAGTTTGAGATATCAGATTTCAACTGTATGAAGTACAAAAATTTGCAATGTGGGCCATTTTGATTACCCTAACAACACAGTTTAATGAAAACCAATACATATTTTCTAGCAAATTTGTTGCTTTGTCTGTTAGTAAGAGACTTGAAAATGTAATATTGTCAAAGTATAATTAAGAAGATTATGATATGTTTGGGGTCCATTTTTTATCTTTTATTTCATACAAAAAAAAACCTTCTTGATTGCTATCTTTTGCATCTAGATCAAATGGTACTTCAATCTGCTGTGGTTTGTCATTTTCTGAATACTTTCTGGTTCTTAAAATAGAACATGTCCTTTAAATCTAATATGTTCAAACTAATTTGCAAAGCACTGTTTCACTAAGCAATGAATAACACATTAATGCAAACTAATGAAAAGAGTAACCATTCACCATAAGAAAAAAAATCTGACAGTTCAAGGAATGACATTTTTTTAAAAAAGTCCATATTTAGTAATAAAAATTGTAATAATTAATAGTACAATGTAATTAAGAAAGTTTATTTATTCATCATTCATGGAAAACCAACAAATACAACAATAATAAAACTCACAACCTCTAATTGAAAAAAAGACATTTGGAGAATTAACTCTTATGATTTTTAAGAGATTTTCTACTTTTTGCATGTACTTCAAAGCCAAAATATTATTTGAATTCATGTATCAATTTAGTGAAACTTTTTAAATATTATGCAAATGTCAGTGAATTGAAATAACTATATTATTTAGAATTCAAATTTTCGTCATTCCCTGCACTCCATGCAATAAATCAACATTATTAGATAAAGGTACCACTAAAATTTAAAAAAAATCTTATTATAATTTTGAATTTTTTTCTCCAATTTGCATGATACATCTCTTTTTAATTTCAATTCACATGAACAAGAACAGAAATGCAGCCATACTGTCTCAAATCTTGACATTCAAAATAAACAATCAAAAAGCAAACATTTAACAATAGTGTTGATTTATTTCTATGCAAATTTTATATTAAATGAATAATGAGGCCACATATATAGTAGAAGTTCTCTTAATAAGTTTAAATTATACAGGTTTAATTTCAATAACTAGTGTAGAAGTTTTAATTATAGATTTTCAAAAAATGCCTTTCACTCTGTTTTAACTTAATACAATTTTCCAAGTATCAATGAAAATATATTATATTTTTAAAATACTGCCCAAAAGTGCAGAGTAATGTTAATATTACAACACTTGATTTCAGTGGTATGATCAATTCTTACCATGAAAATACAAAACATGGTACTGAAGTCAAAATGAAACTGTAATCCAAACCCATGATCTATTGCACAAGTTCTTAAAGAGAAGCAAATACATATGATCATAGATTTTGGGGTTCAGGCAAAAAAGGGAGAGCAGGGACTCTTGTCAAATATTCAAAGATCAAATTACATGTATAAAAATTCTGTTGACAATAATTTTTATATCTCTATAACAAATATTTCTTTTCTTTTTGAAATATTACACCTATAAACAGTGATCTGGAGAAAAAAAAAATTTAATTATACAGCTGAACTTCGATCATTATCTGAACTTCAATATCTTATATACCATGGATATGTTAAAGTGAGTTAAAAGTCCCGACCATTTTTTTATGAATTTTATCCTCAGTATCTTGGATCATCAGATATCTTTATCTTATAAGGTTTGAGATAACAAGGTTTGGCTGTAATATATTTTTTAATTTAAATTGATTCACTTCTTTAGTTAGAAAAAAAAAATCAAACTTTCCAACCGTCCCAAGAATAAAATTATGACTATTCCACTGAAAGTTCACATTTCTAAACATCAAGTGAATTTTACTGTACAGTAATATTTCTCAAGTTTACATCAAATTACTGCATATAACTGGAAATGAATTCATTTCGGAATTCAATATGCTGTAGTGAAGAAGTGAAATATCCCTTTAAATAAATGCAAGCTTTGAGAAATCCATTAATCACTGTAGCAATTTGGCAGTTCAACTGCCCCCAAAAGAAGTGTATCTGATATTATGTGTCACCACTGGACCCCTACTAGCACTATTGGTCTAATTCTATCAATAACCTCTGGATCAATGTACAAATCCTGGAAGGAGATCAGGCCAATATTTCTGCTATCGCCCTACAGGAAAGGCAATATTTAGATAGATAAAAGGCATATATGTATGCAGATACAAGTGAAAAGCAATGTTTACACTTCATTATTTTCCTATCCTTATCCAACATACAAAAACTAGCTTGAAAATTTCTCCCCCTCCCCTCTTTTTATACACTGTCAGATATGTTCAGTGTGCAATGCAGTACTACCACATGCAGATTTCAAAGCAATATTTCAAACTTGCTGGTTTCAGGTTTAAATTGAAACATTATCAAAATGTCTGTGGGTCTAATGAGTTACCTACACTAGAGAAAATTCAAATTTATCAATTTTTTTAAGTTAGTTTAATCCATTTACACTTTGACAGTTTCTCTACAGAAAAAATTAACAGCCTGCCAAAATTTGAAACAGTCAACTCGAAAAAATTGTCTACAAAAAGTGAACTGCAAGCCAAATTTTGTAACACCTACAACTCTGAAAGAATTGTGTGAGTGCATAGAATATTGATTTCAATTAATGCACAGAATGTCTTTCTTTTCATTTTTATTGCTGCCTAATTAAGCTTCAAAAAATTCCTTTCTCTGCTTTAAATCCTTTTAAATGCTTTTTTTGCAAAATTGCTTTTCCAAACAAACTTGATAGAAATTAAACTTCAAATTTTCTTACATGCCATACCATGCCCTGTGCTAGAACTTGCAGATATTCCCAGAGAATTTAAATTTAATATTTTCAGTGTGCAGCATTCCTCTTTTTCATTTTTAGGTATTTTTTCTGATTCTGATTTTAGATCATAGCTTCTGTATTAAAAAATAATGTTGATTGTGTACACTTTCCAGAGCAATGTATGTCAGAAGGGTTAACTTGCAGATTTTCAAAAATTCTCAAAAACATTAAATCTTTATAATGTTTATATGTTACTAAATTCCTTATAGATATCTTGACCATCGAATACTTCTAATGAAATTCTTGAGCAATTAATCAATACTTTTATATTAAATTTTTCATTCATGAAAAATATATCTGAAAAAACAAACCAAAAACAAGGTGTAAAATTAAAAATCTATCATTAAGATTTAATAGATTAAAAATCTGCAAGTTTTTAATAAGGAAATTCAAGAATGGCAATATATAAAATTTTGTTTAAAAATCCAAAGCACGGACAATATTGACAAAAAGGAATTGATTTTTTTTCTTTTGTCCTCGATTGTCAGGCCTTTGTTTTTTTCTTTTTTATATTTTACCTGGTCTTCGCTTTGGGGTAGAGATTCATATGATTCCATGTCGGAGTTGTTACCATGGGAATTCTGCTAGAACAGAGTCACAAAGTAGACATCAGAGCCACGCACAGAAACACATACACAGATCGAAACATACACACAAACACACGCAGCAAAATCTTAAGTTGACATTTTCACATGGCTATCAAGTATTTGTGAAGGAATGTTTTATCTTATATCTCTCCAAAAAGATTCGATCATTTTCTGATCAAGATTTTCTGAGAGGAATAAAAAATTAGAGATGGAGAGTTGATCAGCTATAGCTACTATTAATATCTAAATTAAACAGGAAATGACATCATCAAGGGATGAGGAAACTATGGGATGTAAATTTCTGGTTATATATTTTTGTGCTCATTGGATAAGTAAATTAATTAATTTCATATTTAGTACTCATTCTTTATAAAGAAAGAGATATATACGTGGCTCAGTTACAGATTAATTTCTCTTATAACTATAGCTAGACCACTTTTAAACAAATTCAAAACAAACACTGTGATAAACTATAAAAGGGCACTTTGCAGGTACCTACTGCAGTCAAACCTGGCCATGACTTTCCCACCACTATGAATTTATATCACGTAGTATAATAAATGAAGAAGGACTTCAATAAATGCATCGGTCTCTCTAGATGTCATCCAATGATTTTGTAATGGTGGGATAAGGTGGTTGGGGTTGCGTGTGACGGTGTGATCTGTTAGATTGTGAAACAAAGGTGAAAAGCAAGTACTGGAATATTGTACAGTCATGTACTAATTTCACACAATGTCATGGACTATTTGGCGTAATCACGAGTTAATGCCATAAGTATTTACGATAACTATAATATTTACCGGTATAAAAAATCCTATTCTGGCGATATTCATGATTTGGAGCTCATAAGATTGCACTAAATATGACTCCCATCAAAATACATATACAGAATAAAGTGTATGTCTCTTAATTTGATTCTTCATTTAATGTACTTTAAAAATTGAATTAGTTCTATTCAATGTCTAGGTATTTATCATGATAAATTTTGAACCAACAATTTAATTTAATTTGTGTCTACCTATTCTACATTATTTAGACAAATTAAAAAAAAAGCCCATGAGATGGATGTCAACTTAATTTCACAACAGAAATAGTAAAAATCAGAATTTTACAATATATATATAATTGATACAAATTATAAAGCTCACAAAGAAAGACAACTCTGTTACAAACATGAAATCCTCAAAATGTTAATTATCAGAAGATGTTTAAGAACCATGACTCTCCCCATAATAATTAATTTTAACAGATATTTGGAAACTGCAGGATGATAGTGCATGCCAGACAACATGCCTATATAAAGACAAATGGATGAACACACATGTACACATTAAATGAATTACTGCAAGTTCATAAATGCATGTACACAGTGTTCAGATACATATGAAAATCTTTGTCAAAGAATTTCTTAAAATCATATTTAACATTATATGATGGGAAACACCATCTGCTATCAAAGTTTTGAAATACATAATTAACCATGAGTTTAATAATCAAAAGTATATTAATGCTCACGAAATTCTTTGTAAAATTTCAAAGATTTCTTTCTTAAAAAACTCTTTCCAAAATCCCACTTGCAGTCAACATTTAAAGTGCAACAAACAGTTCAAAGACCACTTAAGACAAACAAAAGACATACTTCACAAAAACAGCACAACATAACTGGCAGGAATATGAGGATGGATATTTCCACCAGTTTTTACACAGTGTGATCCCCAATCTTACCTGTCGGGGGGACTGTTTGCTTTTCTTTTTCTCCTCCTCCTCTCTCTGTTTACGAGCCCGAGCCTCTTCCCTCTTGTGACGGAGCCAAGCTTGAAAGGCATCATTATTCTCTCTCTCCTGATACTCCTTTTCCTGTTTTTCCTGCTGCTTTCTTTCTCTCTCTCTTTGTTCTCGCTGTTTTGTCTGTTCTTCGACGAGTTTTTTATCGTGCTGCGACATCGCATATGGCGAATTATAATTAAAGTCACCTAACACAGACCCTCTGTGTGAACCTGCAGATGAGGCTCGCTGTTTTGATGACCCAGGTCGCGTGCGTCGGGAATTCCCGTTGGCAGTTGCAGGTCTCGGTTGAGAAGGCGGAGCAGGTTTGCGATTGAAATCACCATTAGAATTTGAGTCTGATGTGTTACTATTATTTACATTTTCTTTTTCACTACTGAAAATTGGCAGGCCCATGTCCTTAGCTCTAATATCATTCTCACTAATTAATTCGAACTTTCCGTCACATTCGATTAAAACTTTTTTCTCGTTGTTCTCTTCATTTGACTTGCCAGGTTCTTGAGACTGTGGTGTTTCTGAATTCTCTCTGGGCGTTTCTTCTTCTGGGTAGTCAGGAGGTGGTGCCACTAAGTCAACTAGATTAGCTTTAAAATTCACTTTAGAGTTACTTTTTTCAACAGGGGTTGGGTCATTGGCAAGTTCTTCATTTAACGTTTTTAATCTTTCCTTGACGTCATATTCTGGGGGATCTTCCTCTGAAATAAAGAATTTGAATCAAAATATGTCAAGCTAAGAATATCAGAAAAATTCTAAAATACATGGTTTTTAAAAAATTAATTTGAAATATATTCTATTAATATACTATTAGCACTTCTATTAAATAAAATATCAGTCCTAGGACTTTTAATGGCCCTGCTCACAATTATGGTGAAGGGCATGAACAGTTCATTCGCTGGGGAATTTTTTAATTAAACTGTGTAATAAACTTGTATATTCTATCTTTCAAGACTTCTACATTCAAGCATTGACTTGATAAGGAGTCAACAAAATGGAGCCAGAAATTGGTTAGATATCACAGAGTATTGATAGATTGCAATGTGTTGAATTACAAGAATTTTGCTTTATAACACACGTCTTTAAACCATGCCTACGGCAAAAGGAAAAAAAAACTTAATATTCCCTCACTATAAAATGTTTTCTAAAATGCAAAATGGAATAAATTTGGAGCTTTTATTCAAAATTTATGAATGGGATATTTTTTAGTTGATTGGTCCTTCTGCTTGATTAACAATTAATCTACACTTACCGGGTAATCCCATTTCACTCTTCAGGTACTCTATCTCTTTCAGGGCTCGTTTCTGGTCCTCGGTCAATGTGTAATCATCTGGTTCGGAGTCCTCATCGTCCGTCATTTTCTCTCTGGATGATTCCTCCTCCTTCCTGTCTGCCATTGCAGAACTCGGCCGTGAATCAACTTTATCACTGTCCGTATCAACATCAGTGTCTCTGTCACTTTTGGTCACTTTTTCCTCCTCCTTTTTTTCCTCCAAATTTTCCTCCATTTCCTCCTTTACCTCTTCCTTTGCTTCCTCCTTTTTTTCCTCTTTTTCCACTTTCACTTCTTCCCTTTTCTCCTCCTCTTCTCTTGTTTCTTTCACTGTTTCTTTTGGCTCCGATTTCTGATCCGTGTCAGCCTCTTTTTGGCTTGGCTTCTCAGCCTCACTTTCATTTGATCCAGTTGATAAGCTTTCATCTTCTTCCTACAAGAAAAAACTTTTCTGCTTAAGACAAAAACTCATCATCTGACTTGGATGCCTGGCAAATACATCAAAGTATTAAATCCATGGGCTGGAATTAATACTGTCCAATCAATAATTCTTAGGCCATAAACTTGTAAAGGCATTTTCCTTCCAGCATTTTCTGAAGACCTTACATGAAGGGATTATAACTTTAAAAAAAAATTGTGTTCATCAGGATCATTGATTACTGTTTTGCAAAGAAATAATTCTTGCTTCTGTTCTTTAAAATTCCTAATGACTTCAAAACACTAACACTGAGCTCATTTTTTCTATTTTTTTTTTAAATAATTGGGTTATACTGGATAAAAAAAACTACTTTTATAATCATGATAACCATGGATAACATTCCTTATACATTATTTCAACAACAAAAAATTAATCAAAATTCAAGAAATATATAAACCATTTTTATTTTATATAAAAGGTAAAATTTCCAGATAATTTTCTTCCTAAACAATGTATTACAACATACTATTCTATCTGAATTTCCAAACTCTGAATTAATTAAAGCATATGTGAAAATTTTTAAGCCTTTATAAGTCACTATGTGGATTATGAGTCCTGTCCATTTTATATTCCCTCAAAGTACTACATGCATGCATAGCTAAAGATAAGTGTAAATATTTTAATTGTAATGTTACACATCATAATCAGCAATGTAAGGGGCTGCTATTTATCTGGTCAGAGAACTTTAATTCAAAAGACATTAACTATACGCCGGTGATTTGCCGGGACCCATAATAGTCTCTATGTCAACAGTCCTTGTATAAACTTAGAATTTACATGATAAACTTGGGGGAACCTGCTCGACAACAGGAAAATATTTTTGTTTCCATGTGTAGTATCCCTAAGTGTTAAATAAGAAGCGAATGATAAGCGAGACGTTAATGGCAAAATTAGTGCAGAGAGGGCTTAACACAACATTTAGGAATTCAAAATTTTTTTAAAAATATAACACGTAAATTTCCCTCTGATTTAAATGCATATTCTATTGGTTTTAAAATAATCAGATTGTTTTCATTTTTTGTCAATGTAACTAACAAACATATATGTAAAACATTAGGAGATTTAAAGAGAAAGCACCTGCTTGTCTTCACACAATATTAAAATCAGGATTGGCAACTTTAAATATTGACACAACTATTCAGTTTTCCAAAAAAGACTGTGCAAATTGATAGTGCTCTTAAAAGTCACATACATGTAGTAGAGGGTTAAGGATTCTGGCAAACTGAAAATGTCTACAAACGAACTTCCTTTGGTGTTTAAAATTATCTAATGTTTACTTTTCAAAATGATCTAAGAAATAAAGACTTTTTAAAAAAAAAACCAAAGTGCTTTTGAATTAGCATCTATTTTCTCTTCTCTTATTTTTTCAAAAATTTATGTTAATTTTTTTTTTTGCTGTGGCAACTGTTATAAATTCAGCAACTGAATAAATATCCAAAGTAAATTTTATTATTGAATTTTTGTTTAAACACAGTTGACAGTTGGTCTCTCTGGTATTGCCACAATAACATTTATATCAAATATGGTTGATACATATCTCATATGACAAATAGAAACTGGAGTCTTGGTGGTACAGTCAAACGTGTCTTATTCGTACTGGGGACACATATTTCGCATCAGAATAGACAATGTGTCAGATTGCACTGTGTAAAGAAAATAGAAAATGTCTGACTGAAAATAAACGTCAGAATTCAAAGTGAAATGGACTGCACAGATTTCAGATAAGACAAGTTTCACTTTATTATGATTTTTAAGTCTTGGTTTTCAATCCACAGATTGTGATTGAGATTGGATTGTATCAATGAAGTCATATGATGTTATATAAAACTGTGCTTGATGCAAATTAATAGATGACATATACATATAGTCTCCATGGTTTTATTTTTTAAATCAAAAAAATTATATGAATTAAAGATTATTTTGTCGGTCTGTTTAATTGTTTTTCTTTACTCCAGATCTAATTTCTAAGATACATACTCAATTGTTGCTTAAAAAAACTATTCAACCTGGATTACGTTAGTTAAAAGATTTCATTGGATCAAAGCAATTTTTATTATTTAAAAAGCCTTTAAAAACATATTAGAGTTTAATTTACCACAAGAAAAAAATATACATATATATTTGTCAATCACTTAATATTCTCAATTAATACCATATTAATGGGTCCCATCTTTGATTTTATAAATTCTGAATCAGTTAAATATAAATCAAACCATACTCCATGTGCTGAATTTTACTTTAAAAACTCATTGAATATTTACGATTTTATTTCCATCAGAGTTCAAATTCATTGTGTGACTTTCTCAATGGTTACTTAATACATGTATTTATTCAGTTGGTGAATTAAATTTTTGAAAAGCTTTATTGATCAACACTTAACAGGGCATACACTATAGTGGCAAACATCCAAGCTGATAAAAATCTAAAATAATCATTAATACACGGAGATAATAACACACTGATCTTTACACGGAATTGTTAACATTTAAAGCACTGGTTGTATCACTTTAATAAAGCACTTGTAATATACTCTACTTCCACAATAATCTCTACAAAAAAAATTATTTTTTTTGGGGGGGGGGGGGGGGTACTGGGAATAAAAACTATCAAAGTCATTAAAAGATTTAGAAAATCAAAAACTGTCAAAACCCTGCAAGATTGGAAAATACAAACTTAGCTAGCATATATTACGTTACAATGCATACATCTATTATAAACCTTGTTTGAACTCTGTGAACTTTTTCAGCAAAGAAACAAAATTACCACGAACTCTTTACCCCTAGCTTCCAGAAATAAGGCTTAATTAGTATTTTGAAGATACAGCATAATTTTCCTTTATTCTTTCATTAAATATTGATAGATCTACAGAAATTGAGATACATGTGTTCAATTTCTGTTATATATTTATGCCTTAAACATTTTCGGTACACATTTTAATAAAAAAAAAAAGAGAGTTTCTGGTCCCAAAAGAGTAAATTCCATTTCAAAGATTTGTATTTGTCAATTTTAATTTGTGTTTGTTTTTAATTTCAGAACCTCAAAACCAACCCGTGTGTGGACGCTAAACATAGAAAAAACTTTGAATGACCTGATATGATAGGAACAATTGCTCGATACTTGCAACAGTGAAAAGGGCTGATTATTTCAAAAGATAATAAGGCATTTCATCCTTGTCACATATAGAAAGAAATGTTGACGTTGTTTGGTTAGCAAATTCACTCAAAGGAAAATTCACAAAATGCATAAAGTTTCTCCAAAGCCAAAAAAATGCTATATAATTATGTCACCATGGAGACAGTATCTATGTCAATCTGCCTCCATCTAGACTCTGAGATACCTTTTCATCTTCGTTTTTTCTGGTGGCAATAAATGATTCCAGTTCCTTGTCGATATCATCGTCGTCATCTGGGACTTTTCTACTGGCGTCATCGTATGACGTTACCTGGATTTGCGGTGACTCCATGGTCGTCATGGCAACCCGTCACTCCCTAAAATGAATTAAAAATTGACCAATCACAAAATGACGCACTAATACATGTACTGAAATCATGCTACACTATTTTGTTAGACCTTCCACTTAGGTTAAATCACAAACTCATCTATCAAATGACAGTTATGATGTACATGTACATGTCCAGAATCAATTTTTTTTACACAGGTAATGGAGCTGTCAAGTGAAAGCTGGTCAGAGATAGGTGTCTCTTTAAATTAGTGCTATAAATCATCCATTATTATACATATTTAAATATTCAGTCATGAAGAACCAGCCATCTCAATAATTGAAAAATCAATAGGGACAATTCATGATAAACGTAACCATCACACAAATACCCTGGTGATAAAGGATACAGAAATAAAAAGATGACTTTAAATTACAAAAATAAAAAAAAAAAATACTGCATTTTATTACCAAAATTATATCATTTGAATGTAAATATGTTCTTTGGAGAAACTCCTCACCAATTTTAAGAAACATACAATGTACACTTCCTACTTGTCTGTTGCTTTTAGAAGCATCCAATTCAATCATTTAAATTCATTCTAAATAAATATATAATCATGACCAGGCCACGAAAGTAAAATAAGCTCTGGTGCTATAGAACTTATCTGTATAAACTGTGGACATTTACATGTTTTTGTGGGCAACAATTAACACTGAAAATTACTTTGCTTTCACAATAGCATCTCAACATCAGTTTATCTAGATAATTCTCTAGATCTTAATGTAGTATTTTTATAATGCCAGGATCTTTAATTGCCATCCTTCCATTTAATGACCATGACATTTCAAAAATATTTAATCCTGAGAAAACGAGTCTGCACAGATTCTCTTAATCACAACATGTACATATAGTATTTAAAATGTCAGAAGCTTTCTCTTTAGCAATTAACATTTATATTATAATTACATTTGGTAACAAAATTGAATAATAGCAGAGTCCAGATCATCCTATAGGTTAATTGTTGGTATTGAAAGATCATATTCCAATGACCAATAAAAAGAGAATTTTAATAAATTAAAGATTACAAAAAAAAAAATAAATCATGAATTCTGCAGCATATAACAACTCAATCAGGATAATTTACATCATTCACTATTTTTGTTTCATAAACATGATAACTGGACGAGAATGGTTAACCAATACATTCCTCGCATCCCAGAAGATGTTACACGGCAGCACAGAGTTGTTAATTGATCATAATGAGTAACTAAAAATAACCAAGTGATCATAGAAAAACCATCAAATTATGCTGAATTTCTCATATATAGTGAAAATACAGGGAACTTTGAAATATATACATTATCCATATTTAACACATATATTTGTTATTACAAGAGTAACAATCTGATCTTAAAAAGAACTAAATCGTGTCGAGTTGAGTGGCATGGATCGTTTGATCAGATGAGGCGCAAAGCATCAAATGAGACGCCTAGTGTCCAATTTGATCTGATGATCCGTGCCTGTCAATAAGACATGAAACAAAATACATTTTCAAAGAACTTTTTTTACACACAAGGTAAAACAAACAAGAGGCCCATGGGCCACATCGCTCACCTGAGCACAGTGGATAGGCAAAAGCACAAATCAGTTCAGTATTGAAAAGATTCCGGGGGGGGGGGGGGGGGGGGGGGGGGTGCTTGAATTTTAAACTACCTGATGATGCTTCCATGTCAAAATAACAAATGGCTTTGTTGTACTTGAGAAGATTTTAAAAAAATTTTCTGATATATTCCTTTGTAAAAATTTGATCCCCCCTTGTGGCTCCTCCCTATCCCAGGGGTCATCATTTGAACAAACTGGAATCTACACTACCTGAGGATGCTTCCATATCAATATGACTAAACATAGCTTTTCTGTTCTTGAGAAGAAATATTTTTTCTATATATTCTTATGTAACATTCGATCCTCCATTGTGGCCCCATCCTACTCTCGGGGGTCATCATTTGAACAAACTTGAATCTACACTACCTGAAGATGCTTCCATATCAATATGACTAAACATAGCTTTTCTGTTCTTGAGAAGAAATATTTTTTCTATGTGTTCTTATGTAAAATTTTCTATCCCCCTATTGGACCCCACCCTACCCTCGGGGGTCATCATTTGAACAAAATTGAATTTACACTACCTGATGATGCTTCCATATCAAAATGACTAATCATGGCTTTGCAGTTCTTCATCAGAAGAAATCTTCCTATATATTTCTATTTCAGACTTTGATCCTCCATTGTGGCCCCACCCAACCCCAGGGGGGCAACATTTGAACAAACTTGACAGGGTTCGACACTAACGTTAGTCTCAGACTAATACATTTTCATTCGGACTAATAAAATCTGTGGCTAATTAGTCCGAGCGGACCAATAAAAATTTCTGGAAAACAATATGAATAAATTACCGATGTCCGATTCTCGACAACTTTACTGGAAAACCCCGCATGTATTTTTAGATCTCTGAGTGATCGATATGAAGTAAAAAGTTTTTAGCAAACATGATTTAGTATGACACTTTATAGAAAGATGTTGGACGTTTTGGATATGTAATGTAAAGACAAAAAAAAAGAAAAAAAAAAAAGAACGAGATCGGGAATATGGTCGAACTTGCTGATTGCGATTTCAAATATATGCTTAGTTTGTTTATTTCAAAAAAAGTATAAAACGTATATTAATTGTCAAGTTTAATTAATGTTAAAAAACATAGATGTATCTTTTTCTTTTTTTTTGACGGACTTGTAAAATCGCGTGCGGACTAGTAAAAGTACGGAAGCACTAGTCCGGCCGGACTAAAGCCTTAAAAAGTTAGTGTCGAACCCTGCTTGAATCTACACTACCTGAGTATACTTCCACATAAATATGATCAATCAGGGCTTTGCTGTTCTTGAGAAGAAGATTTTTAAAGATTTTTCCTATATATCTCTATGTAAAACTTTTATCCTCCTTTGGGGCCCCACCCTACCCCCAGGGGTCATGATTTGGACATACTTAAATCTATACTACCTTAGGATGCTTCCATATCAATATGATCAATTAGGGCTTTGCTGTTATTAAGAAGAAGATTTTTAAAAGATTTTTTCTATATACTTCTATGTAAAACTTTGATCCTCCATTATGGCCCCGCCCTACCCCCGGGGGTCATGATTTGAACAAACTTGAATCTACACTACCTGAGGATGCTTCCATATAAATATGACCAATCATGGCTTTGCTGTTCTTGAGGAGAAGATTTTTAAAGGTTTTTCCCATATATTTCTATGTAAAACTTTGATCCTCCTTTGGGGCCCCGCCCTACCCCCAGGGGTCATGATTTGAACAAACTTGAATCTACACTACCTGAGGATGCTTCCATTTAAATATGACTCATCATGGCTTTGCTGTTCTTGAGGAGAAGATTTTTAAAGATTTTTCCCATATATTTCTATGTAAAACTTTGATCCTCCATTGAAGCCCCGCCCTACCCCCGGGGGTCATGATTTGAACAAACTTGAATCTACACTACCTGAGGATGCTTCCATATAAATATGACTCATCATGGCTTTGCTGTTCTTGAGGAGAAGATTTTTAAAGATTTTTCCCATATATTTCTATGTAAAACTTTGATCCTCCATTGAAGCCCCGCCCTACCCCCGGGGGTCATGATTTGAACAAACTTGAATCTACACTACCTGAGGATGCTTCCATATAAATATGACTCATCATGGGTTTGCTGTTCTTGAGGAGAAGATTTGTAAAGGTTTTTCCCATATATTTCTATGTAAAACTTTGATCCTCCATTGTGGCCCCGCCCTACCCCCGGGGGTCATGATTTGAACAAACTTGAATTTACACTACCTGAGGATGCTTCCATTTAAATATGACTCATCATGGCTTTGCTGTTCTTGAGGAGAAGATTTTTAAAGATTTTTCCCATATATTTCTATGTAAAACTTTGATCCTCCATTGTGGCCCCGCCCTACCCCCGGGGGTCATGATTTGAACAAACTTGAATCTACACTACCTGAGGATGCTTCCATATAAATATGACTCATCATGGCTTTGCTGTTCTTGAGAAGAAGATTTGTAAAGGTTTTTCCCCATATATTTCTATGTAAAACTTTGATCCTCCATTGTGGCCCCGCCCTACCCCCGGGGGTCATGATTTGAACAAACTTGAATCTACACTACCTGAGGATGCTTCCATATAAATATGACTCATCATGGCTTTGCTGTTCTTGAGAAGAAGATTTGTAAAGGTTTTTCCCCATATATTTCTATGTAAAACTTTGATCCTCCATTGTGGCCCCGCCCTACCCCCGGGGGTCATGATTTGAACAAACTTGAATCTACACTACCTGAGGATGCTTCCATATAAATATGACCAATCATGGCTTTGCTGTTCTTGAGGAGAAGATTTGTAAAGGTTTTTCCCATATATTTCTATGTAAAACTTTGATCCTCCTTTGGGGCCCCGCCCTACCCCCAGGGGTCATGATTTGAACAAACTTGAATCTACACTACCTGAGGATGCTTCCATATAAATATGACTCATCATGGCTTTGCTGTTCTTGAGGAGAAGATTTTTAAAGATTTTTCCCATATATTTCTATGTAAAACTTTGATCCTCCATTGAAGCCCCGCCCTACCTCCGGGGGTCATGATTTGAACAAACTTGAATCTACACTACCTGAGGATGCTTCCATATAAATATGACTCATCATGGCTTTGCTGTTCTTGAGGAGAAGATTTTTAAAGATTTTTCCCATATATTTCTATGTAAAACTTTGATCCTCCATTGAAGCCCCACCCTACCCCCGGGGGTCATGATTTGAACAAAATTGAATCTACACTACCTGAGGATGCTTCCATATAAATATGACTCATCATGGGTTTGCTGTTCTTGAGGAGAAGATTTGTAAAGGTTTTTCCCATATATTTCTATGTAAAACTTTGATCCTCCATTGTGGCCCCGCCCTACCCCCGGGGGTCATGATTTGAACAAACTTGAATTTACACTACCTGAGGATGCTTCCATTTAAATATGACTCATCATGGCTTTGCTGTTCTTGAGGAGAAGATTTTTAAAGATTTTTCCCATATATTTCTATGTAAAACTTTGATCCTCCATTGTGGCCCCGCCCTACCCCTGGGGGTCATGATTTGAACAAACTTGAATCTACACTACCTGAGGATGCTTCCATATAAATATGACTCATCATGGCTTTGCTGTTCTTGAGAAGAAGATTTGTAAAGGTTTTTCCCCATATATTTCTATGTAAAACTTTGATCCTCCATTGTGGCCCCGCCCTACCCCCGGGGGTCATGATTTGAACAAACTTGAATCTACACTACCTGAGGATGCTTCCATATAAATATGACTCATCATGGCTTTGCTGTTCTTGAGAAGAAGATTTGTAAAGGTTTTTCCCCATATATTTCTATGTAAAACTTTGATCCTCCATTGTGGCCCCGCCCTACCCCCGGGGGTCATGATTTGAACAAACTTGAATCTACACTACCTGAGGATGCTTCCACATGAGTTTCATCTTCCCTGGCTTTGTGGTTCTTGAGAAGAAGATTTTTAAAAGATGCTATTAATTTTTCACTAATTCTTTATTATCTCCCCTTGAAAGAGGGCGTGGCCCTTCATTTGAACAAACTTGAATCCCCTTCACCCAAGGATACTTTGTGGCAAGTTTGGTTGAAATTGGCCCAGTGGTTCTTGAGAAGAAGTCAAAAATGTGAAAAGTTTACAGACAGACGGACGGACAGACGGACAGACGGACAGACGGACTACAGACAAAATGTGATCAGAAAAGCTCACTTGAGCCTTCGGCTCAGGTGAGCTAAAAAAGGCATCACACAGTGTACTGCATCATCACTTTCAGAGGGTGCTGATATACATGATATATATGGATTCAAAAATTAAACCACAGTGTGGTGATCCAGAAAGTCAGATTACACTTTCATGTCATCGCATAAAATCAATAGTAACATTGAGTGATACACGTTGAGTATATTAAATTATTAATTCATGTATATATGCACATTTTAAGATAGCTGGTCTAAAGCATATAGGAGTGGGACGATCCACCGGTGCACCGATGCATCACAGTATTCACTTTGACGATCTACAGATCGATTCATCTAATTTAGTATCACGATACCTGACTGCATTTTTTTTTTAATTTCCAAAAATGTCCGGGCTTTAGAATTCGAAATTTTTAGTCCTTTAGTCTGTATCATCAAGACGATTAAACAAACACAAATAAAGTACAAACGTCTTGCCGATACAGAATTCAAGATATAAGCATCAAAATTGCGTCAGACACGCCAGATTATATTAAATTAACGAAACCCAATGGCAGTAAGTCGGGTGTCTCCAGGACACCTTTGGGCTACTGGTGTATGAAAAAGACGGCGCATGAACAACAGATAAAAGTACAGTGGTATGCAAGATATGTGATGCTCGTTTGAAATACAATGGCAACATCAACAAATTTCTAGTTTTATTTGGTTTTAAATGTATCGTGATATGTATCGTATCGCACCTAAGGTATCGTGATATGTATCGGATCGGATAAGTTCAGTATCGTCCCAGCCCTAAAAGCATATATTCAGTTGAGTTCAGAGCTCAGGAAATATATGATTCTATTTAATATCTATTCAGTGTAACAGGAAAGGAGTAAAAATTTTGACAGACCAGACCAGGATTTGAACACAGGCCCCCTAAATCTCCAGTCAGGTGCTCTACCAACTAAGCTATCTGGCCAAGCTGGCAACTGAGCCCATCTCTGACCGTAACATCAGTATCATCATGACCTGATGTACATAAACCTCAGTATGGCATATAACACAGCATTGTGTGCTCATTACTTTCCCAGTCATTAATAATTACATCACATTTATTCTATGGCTTTGATGGAGAAGAAGTATTTCATATATAAGATATCTGCAGTGTATCATCATGATCAAATGATCCTAATATTTGATATTTCTTTTTACATGTTTTAATTTTTTTTTTTTTTACATTTTAGTACCTCAGATATTTAAAATAAATTATTTTAAAAAAAGGGGAAAAATGCCCACTCTAGTTGGGTCTTATAGATATAGCTGACTTATTAACAATTAAAAATAACACTACATAAAAGGCTGAAATGTCACCAAATTTAAAAATTTGAAGGTATTTCATCATGCACATTATGTGTTGTGTATTTCAGCCACTGGTAATCAAATAACCCAGATCACATCTAGATATAATACACATTACCACTGTACCACATGAAATGTGGTCAACCGAATTCATGACAAATATATTTCTATAAAACTTTCTGATAGAGACAGTACAATACTTTTTTACAAAAAAGGTAGAGACAGTTGTCCTCTCTTCAAAAATCTTGAAAAGTTTTCTGTTAAATACTGAACCTTATACAAATTAACATTGTACACAAGTACCATAAATTCATGTTTATAATAACATCATATATACGGTACCTCACAATACCGGCCTGTAGGCCTATACTATGAAATAAACTTTATACTGTGAACTTGAAAGTAGTGAAGAGGAAATGAGCTTATATACTTCTGTACCTGGCAATGATAGTCTTTCAAAATTATGCACTTGTTGCATGCACTCAAAGTATGGTGCACGGAAGAAAAAGTATTAAACATTGCATGTCATGTCATGCAATGAAATTCGGTGCATAGGGCAAGTATAATAATTTTTTTATGATTTTTCTTGATATATAAATTGGATAATTACCTGTACTAAATAAACTTCATCAATGATATGATCTGCGGTCTAAACACAATAGTGTAATGAGATATATCCAAGTTCTACGACACAGCTAATCCACTGTTTGGGATTGATGCCTTGGCAATGCTTCCAACTTTATCTATCCACATTTTCGTAATACTCCAAGAAAGTGATATCCAAGAAAATAGAATAATTAATTCTTATTAATTGAATAAATATAGATAATAAACAATATTAAGCTATTTTCCCCCTTCATACCAACATAATTTAACTAATCGAAAACAAAAGCAGGTGCTTTTGCTAGCTCTACATATTGCCGGAAGTCAACGTGTTCAATGGCGACCTCCGTCAACATGCTGCTTCTCAGCATTGTATGTTTGGTGTTATGCACCCTTTGTAGGGCTGCTGATGATGATAAATGTTATTCATACGCCGGTGGAAGTGTTTTCCCACAGGAAACAAGGCGTACTTCTGGTCATGCGATCCAGTGGAGTCAAGCAGTCAGTAAGTTGTTTGTTTGCAAGATTTGTTTACTTATCCAAGGACCAGAAGACTTCTTTGCAGCCTTTGCTCTCGATAAGGACTGTGTCACTTAGTTGTTTTAACCAATATTTGCAAAACATTCTTCACTCGTTTTAATCATGCAAACATGTCTTTGTAAAATTTGCATTATACCCCATCTATTTATTTTCTTTAAAGTCATATATGGCGTATTTTTGATAAGTTCAGACTAACTAAAATTAAAAAGATCTTTCTATTTATTCTATTACTTTATATAAAGATAGGACTTTCCTGTAAATAAGAGTGCAACGATTAACCATTTGATGGTATATCACAGTATATTTTTCCATGGTTCAATTCACGATACACTAAACTGATATCGTGTTTCAGTTCAATCGGTCCAGAATTATCCAAATCGTCCGTTTTGTTTCCTTGTTTACCATTTCAAAATGGCTTCCACGCAAAACGTGAGGTCGACGATAACGCATTAACGGCAGGTAAACTCATCTCCAGCATCTTATCAGGGATTGAAATTAGCGGGAAATACTCACAAAATGCGAGTTGATTTTTAAAAAAGCGAGTAAAAATAGTAGACACTCGAAATTTTTAACGAGTGGTGATTTTTCCGGTAATTTGCCTTTTGATTTTTTGAAACTACAGTCAGACTGATTAAAGCAGCCATTTATCCGTCTTTTTCTATTATATTCATTTAGAAATCAGAATCAACCAAAGGTTTTAAAGGCCACATAAACCAAATTAAGTTTGTTTTCTGTAAACCTACCCCCGGTGGATTTTTTTCTGCCAAATCACAATTGGCTGATTCAATTCATACAAAAAATTTTAATTGTACAGTAGCTTTATTTGAGATATGAAATATGTCAACCTAGTCAACATTTCCCTTAAATAAAAAATAATCATTATTGTTACAGTAGCATCAAGCATTTCTCCCACAACTTTTTGAAGTTTGTTTTCTGCCGCTAGACAGCCATGTGGGTGCCCGCTGTAAATATCACACCTGGTTAATTCAGTCTAGGATGTTTGACCCCCTTGTTCATCAGCAAAAAAAAAAAAAAAAAATTGATTTTTTGGGGAATGTTACAGGAAACTAACATATTTTTTTTAGGCCTGGTTACCATTTTTTAGACGTAAAAACATTGATAATCCATTCATGACCAGATCATAATTCTGTACTGACCCACTATAGTTGGTCCTGTATTGTTATTGATTAAAATAAAGCATGAAAAAGGCAGTTAATCTTTCTTTTTATTTTAGCTTGTAGATCTTCATTTTAGCCTGTGGATTTTTATATGTACAGGCTAAAATTAGCCAGTGGTTAAAAAAGTTAATTTCGATCCCTGTCTTATGGACCTCAGATTTAACACAGAGAAGGACTTGATGTGATTAAAAGTTGTAGATTTTAAGACAAATGAAAAACCCTTAAGATTTAAACGTATTCTTTGATAATACATGATATCTCATCATGCATGTATTTCGATGAAAATTCGCTGTTTTCGTTGACTAAAACATAATGGGAGAAATATGATATAAACTGGTTTTCTACATAAATAAAGGAATAAAAGAATGAATGTCTTCCTTTTTCATTCCAATTTAAAGGGAAGATTATTAGGAAATTGGCACTGTAGAAAGTTTTAACAAATATGAGGCAGAAAAGCGCTTGAAAAATCTATTTGTCAGCCCCTGATGTATGGTGATACGTATCGTATCATGAACTGAATACTGTGATACGTATCATATCATGAGGTTGGTGTATCGTTGCACCCCTACCTGTAAATTACACAATTTAAATCAATCATGTTTCATAGATATTGGAAATTTAAAACAATAACCGATTTATTTACCGACTTCGCATTTAGATATCAGACACAGTTTAAAGTCAATTTAACTATAGAAATCTGGGGATATTCAAGATCAAAATTGGTGAAAATTTTAACGTAAACAACAAATATCATGTTCATCTACACTCAATCACATATTTTTATTTTTTAGCTCAGATACGCCATATATAGCTTTAACAGGTTGGGCACAATTCCCTTCTTGTTTTTAGAAACATGGTTACTAAATATAGAAATTTCTGTGAAATTCCTTTAAAACGCAACTCCTCCTACAGTTTTGGTCTGATTTCAATATAACTTGGCAAACAAGTAGACTACACTAAGATACAAAATTTAGTGCATCGATTTTTGATTTTGATGAATAGTGTTGCCATGGTTTGTTGAAAATTAGATGCCCAGCACATAACTGAAAGTCGAAAAATTCCAACACATCAAGTTTTAATGACCCAATAATTTTAAGTCATCTTATTTTGTAGATGATTTTATAATCATGATAATATTGAGGAAACGTCATCATTCATGGGGGACTAGTGTTCGTGGATTTTTTTTTTTTTTTTGGTCACACTTACCCAAAAATTTACATCCCCATGAATGATAAGTTTGCCATCATATTGGTTCATTGAATCATCTGTATTTAAGTGTTACCCATTTATTTACAACATCCCCACAAACCAATGAAATTTTAGCTTCCCTAAACGTTAACCCTCACAAATTAAAATGATTTGATTTTTACTGTGATTGGAATTTCAATGATTGTATAATTAAACAATAGCACCAGTTTGCAAAATCTTTATTAGTGATAAATAAATATTATGTGTTTTAAATGTACAGACTACAGTTCAGCAATGTACATTTTAGTAGTGTATTATTTTGTACTTCAGGCTTAAAAATGACTAATCCTTGACTTTTTTTTTCTTTCAGTTTCCAAGCCAGCTCCAGACTTTAATGGCACAGCAGTCATCAAAGGTGAATTCAAGGACATCAAACTTTCTGACTACAAAGGGAAATACTTAGTTTTCTTCTTCTACCCACTTGACTTGTAAGTATACGTATTGATAATTACCAGAAATTGAAAGGAAAATAAACAAGTACAATTAAATAATTATAATATCAACTATTATAATAGTTTAAGCTTTCTTATAAATGTCATTCACATACATGACAGGGGTTGCTTACCCCTACATGGCACCTTATCCCTTACACCTCTGGTGTTTTCAGAGGTCCATGTTTGCCTTGCTCACAATTTGTATTGTTTATTTGGAATTTTGAGCATGAATACTGTTCATTATCTTCTGAAGTTTTCAATGATATTAAATGGGAATTGTGTATTTTTTTTATTGTTTTATTAATATTCACTTTACATTCATTTTGATATAATATATTCTTTATTTAAAGAAGAAGGTAAAAAGGGGGCATGTGCATTTCAGAGCATTTCTTGTTTTTATTTATAGTACTTTTGTGTGTCCCACTGAGATCATTGCATTCAGCGACAGGATTGGAGAATTTAAGAAGATTAATACAGAGGTCATTGCCTGTTCTGTTGACTCTCAATTCACGCACCTGGCCTGGTAAGACGTTTATTATCAGGGACTGATTTTTGTTTTAGTAATTAGATACCCACAATAATCAATACCAATGGAATGACAGTCAAACAACTGCTTTTTGAGTGTAAAGTATAAAGCTTGATGGCTAGGAAGTACGGTGTCTATTCAATGATTTTCAAAACAGAGGAATGTCACAGATTTATTTCAATAACAAGCTCTGAGTTTTACTTTGCTATTAATGTAGAGAGAAATGTCATCTCGGCTTTATTTTTATCCATGTCATCGACTAATTCAACAGAAGCGGAGTTATCTCTCTTTTAACACTTTAAAATGGACAAAATGTGTGATAAGGTGAAAAACTCAGATAAAATCTGCATTAAAAATGTATTGTATGACATCATTAGTACTGTCAACTTTTCCCTAGGATCAATACTCCAAGAGCTAAGGGAGGTCTGGGACCATTAAACATAGCGCTCCTCTCAGACATCACCCATGAGATCTCCAAGGCCTATGGGGTGTATCTACAGGATTTGGGACACAGTCTCAGGTGAGCTTGTCAGTCTACAGGTCATACCCAGTCAAATATTGAAAGGTAGTCCTACACGACATTATAATCAATGGCTATTTGGGATCCATGATCAATATGGTTAAATTTGAATGTTGTTTTTTTTTTTACTCTGTCCTGTAAGTTATTGTCCCTTTCAAACAAAATTAAATGGATTCTTGTTATGCATTGATATTTGCATGTGTATGTAATTAAGAGTTTTCTCCCTGTAGTTAAGAATTTTGTATGGATGAAATGAGTCATGTAGACTGATGCAAGATACTGAAAATCACATCTAGAGTTAAACTTTGGGATCTCAAACATCAATAATGGGAATCCATGCATATGTAAAAGTGATTCAAGGAAGTCCTAAACACTTATTCCTTACCCTCAATATCTTGAATCGTCGGATATCGCAAAGTTTTTTCTCGGCTGCAACAAGTTCGAAATAACAAGGTTTGACAGTGTTTCGTGAGACTTTATCTCATGAGACTAAATTTTCACGCTCAATGTTTGCCTCCAGATAACCTCACAATATTATGTGAACATTCCTAAAGTTCTCACAAATAAAATGTCAAGAATATTTGGTAGTTTGCATGTATCTTGGTGTTGAAGGTATGAAGTTCTTTTCCATTATAGATTAGAAGCAAACTTGTATGATCTTAAAAATGGCACATTTAAGTCCTCACATTTTTACATTTCAGAGGACTATTTATCATTGACCCCAAGGGAATCTTACGTCAGATCACCATGAATGACCTTCCTGTGGGGCGGTCAGTGGATGAGACGCTGCGATTGGTCCAGGCATTCCAGTACACGGACACTCATGGAGAAGTATGTCCTGCAGGCTGGAAACCAGGAAGTGACACGGTATGTATTACTGAAACCAGAAAGTGACAAGTGACACATTATATATTATTGAAACCAGGAAGTGACATGTATGTACCATCATAACAAGAGCATCATGGGAGGGATCTCAAAAAGACACTTTGAAAGCATCATATATTTTTCTCTTCAAAATTTAGCAGGTGGAATCTTAGACTAACAAAGAGTGTAAATTTTAATATTCACTGATAAGTTTTAAAAATAGTGTATGGTTAACTTTTTTTTAAAAGTACAGTATGTTGGCAAGATATGTCAAAAGATATGAACAGATTGTTAAAATGAAAAGTTGTGCTCTGGGCAGGAAAGAAGGGGCTCAATTTTAATTATAGACTTAAAGGGAACTATACCCATCACAATTTACAATACAGTGCTAAAAAAAAAGAGAGAATAGAAATGTGTGGATATATACACATACAGTATGTGTGAAGCTAATTGGACCTTTCTTGTCTTTCAGATTATTCCTAATCCAAAAGAATCTCAGAAGTATTTTAGCAAGCAGAACAACAACTAACAACATTACAAGCTCATTAATGACACTGATGATTACAAGCTTGGTAATGACACTGCTGAAGAGGGGAACAATGTATTTTTTCTCTTATTAGGATTTTATTTTTGAAGTTAGAGGGCACAAAGGTTTCAATCACAAAATGTATATATTTTTCTAAAATAATTAAAAATGAATCAAAATAGAACTGACCACCATTCCCCCTCTTGTTGCTGTACACTTTCCGTACGTGAGAAATTAAATGCGAAGTGTAAAATTTGTTCTTTCTCTAGATGTTTGTAATTCATTTGAATTTTGATGTATTCCTTTATAAAGAATCATTCCTTTCTAGTCAGATATGTGCACCCTTAAATAATTGTACTGCCCTCCACTAGTCTAAGGGAAAGATTCACTGTTTTCCTTGTACTTGCATATTTATTTAGGTATGGGTAGAAATAGAAAATGTATATGGAAAACAAATATTTAGTGTTTACTTTTGACAGTATGATATGCCTTCAGTGTTCACATTGTTTTCAAGGCATTTTGGCTTGGCTTGACATTCAGTGCTGATCTTACCTTTTCTTTTTTTCTTTCTTTTTTTTTCTTATTAAAACAATGTATATTTCCTGTGAAGTTTTAGAGATTGAAATATCTTGATGTTCTATGGTTTTGGAGAATAATTTATGTTTACATTTAATGTTGTCTCACTTGGGATATTGAGGTTACATTGTTGTTTTTTTTCCGTCTCTCAAAATTTGGCGTTTCAATGGAAAATAAAAGCAAAAATTTTTTAAAAGAAAAATTCAGTTCTACAAATGTTGTTTGTGAGTGATGTGAAAAAAAGTGTTTGTTCCTGCCTGAATTGAAAGAAAAAAATGTTTTACATGGGTACAAGAGATGTAAAATGAATCAATAGAGAACTTTTACTTTCTCAATTTGTATGGAAATGTACTCAAAGTACAAATTATTTCCCCTGTTTTTGCTTCTGATGAAATCCATTTAAATATCATTCAATCATGTGTTTTGTTCAGAAATTTATGTGATGTTAATGTTGTGAGTACTTTTTTTTCCTTGAACACATAATTCTGTAACAATCTAATCATCAACACTTGTTCGTTAATAAACATGTACATTGTACATGTAATTGTTAAATGGACACATGAGCCCTGTATATTGTAGTGATATGTTTCAGCTTTGGTGATGGGAGGTAAATGTAGTTGGACATATGTAACTATAAATTGCCTGTATTCACTTCTCTGTGCTAGGTGTACTTGGTGATTTTTGGTTGTAAAAGTTTGTGACCATTTTATAGCAGCTTTGTTTAATAGTTATTTAAATGTTTGCAGTAATGAAAATTGTTAATGTCTTACGAAATATCAATTTTGATTTTTTTCCCCCCTGATCTTAAATCTTGAAGGAATCAGTATGGCACAAAAATTAATTTTGGTCGGAAAACTTGAAAATCATTCTTTATATTTGCATACAGTGTGTTAATGTGGAATTGTTAAATTCAAATCCTATTCTCTATGCTCCATGTTAATTTTTTAACTTTTATCCAACTTTCCTTTATACAGCTAGTAACTTTTTCTAAGTTTTTTAATAGGTGATTTAGGCTATACACAGTGCTCAATTCTGAAAATTCACAAGGTGTTCAGATTGTACGAATATTGATAAGTTAGAGCTTACATACGTGTACCTTTAAACTAGAAGATATTTGATATATTTCTTGTTATTTGTAAAAATATCTGGATTGTGTCAGTTTTGTTATGAATTATCTTGATATTTGAAATAAAGAACTTTAAAAGAACTTTATGTGAATTTATTAGTATTTTTGAGTTGTAGTTCTATAATACCAGTCATCATATCAAATGCCATCAGATATATGATATAGAAAAAAGATAGTTGTAGGCTATATTTGCAAAAAATAAATTAAAAAAATAAAAGATTAATTTTATATATGTGAAATCATTAGATTTATAGTATATATCCATTCCTCTGTTTCATGCTATCTTGCCATAAGTAAGTTAATGCAATGTATTGATGAACTGAGAGAAATACCAGGAAAGTTGGAGGAAAAATGAAGATCTAAAAATAACTGCAAGCGGAGGCACTTGATATTCTAAAGATTTCTTAGTATAAATATATATAAACATTTCACCCCTACTTGATAATGAAATCTTTGTGCTAATAATTATTTTAAAAATCAATTGCCTGTGAAGTACATGTAGATACATGTAATTACATGTATTGAAACTCAAAACAGTTTATTTAACAATATGAAACTTCTAAGGACTATTTAAGGCACATTTACATTTTTCAACCAGTGTTTTCGTGTGGTACTTGTTTCTTGTTGGCAACTTTTTTGTTGAATATACATGACTGGATTCACCGGAAGTATTCATAGGCGTCGGAAGCAAATTGAAAGTGGGGGAAGGGGCGCTAATTGAAAGAGAAAAAAAAATCAAACCTGAAAAAAACTTGACAGGCAAAAAAAAGGGAAAAAAAGGAAATTGTCCAAACCCGAAAATCCTATTTCGGGGAAGGGGGGGGGGTGTGTTTAGGATCTAAATTCTTTCAGTACCAATTTTTTTTTTCACACGCTACCACTTACCATTCTTTCATTACACTGCAATGTGCCTGTTGAAAGTGGGGGAGGGGGGCAACTAAACCTACGCCCCAATGTTCAATGTTCAAAAAAGGCGGGCTAAGCCCCCCTAGCCCCCCCCCCTCCCCCCAATTCCGACGCCTATGGTATATAAATGTTTTGGACGTAAATCCTGACATTGTTCTTATTGTGCTGAATTAATCTTAATGCAAATAGAGAGAGATATAAATATAAATTGAATTCTTGAAAAATAACGATTATTCAGGAGGAAAGTTGTGTATACATGTGTTAAGTTTACGGATTTTTTTTTTATATATATCAATTAAGTCATTCAAAACTTTTATGCACAGTCTTAGGAAATAGCGAAAAAAAGTTGTGGTCCTAGAACTGACTTTTTCCTGGTAGGTAGGAATACTGGATCATCTCTGGAAATCACCAAATCTATGCTGTAAAACCTTTGGCATATGTTATAGATTGAAGATTATTCAAATAGCCCCCACCTTGGCGTAGGGCTTATAATTCAAGGGGGTTCAAAATTTTTACAAAAGAATATATCTAGTAATACATAGGTTTAAAAATCTCTCCTTTTTTAAAAAAAAAAAAAAGATAGAACATATACATGTATTAATTCCCAAATTGATCTGAAGCATGCTATTATACAATGTATGGTGACCGTGTGATTTTATCCCATAACCCCCCCCCCCTACTTTTTTTCTCGGTGGACTAAAGTTATATTTCACTGTTTCAAAGAGAGAGAGAGAGAGAGAGAGAGAGAGAGAGAGAGAGAGAGAGATCAGTCAAGACAGTAGACTGATATCTCCCTAGCTCCACAATCACCAATGGATTAAATTTCAATTTTAGTTTAATTAATTATTCAGTTTAATTTAATCGATACGAGGGTTGATCAAAAGGTAATGTCGTAAATGCTATAAAATCTTTAATAATCAAAAGTTTTCAACAAAGCTTTATATACTATAATACCTCTATCTATTTTGATTTTCGTCCTAAAATTTCATTCAGATATATTCAATACTGTATAAAATATCAAAAACACAACGTTGGGTCTCGTCCATCGCCGCACGGCCGGTAAAAATGTACATAACTTCGGGCTTCACAGGATTTTATCACGTGACCAATCAAGTTCATTTCCCATAGAACTTTTTGACCTTGTTATTTCAGGCCCGTAGAACGCCCGGGGGGGGGGGGGGGGGGTGGAGGAGGGGGACCCGGCCCCAAATTTTTTTCTGATTAAAGTATTTTGCTATATTGCTATAGTAAATATTCCTTTAAATGCTGATTGCCCCCCCCCCCTTTCTGGTGATGTAAGGTCGAGCACTGGTAAATTCCAGGATTTGGACAGTAAATTACTTTTTTTCCTTTTTTTTTTTCTTTTTTTCTTTTTTTTTTGTTGGTGTGTGTGCTTGTCAGATAATTTGCCCCCCCCCCACTGTTGGTCAGTTTAGGTTTTTATGCCCCCGTATCGAAGATTTGGGGGTATATAGTTTTTGCCCTGTCCGTCCATCTGTCTGTTTGTCTGTTTATCTGTTTGTCTGTTTGTCCGCAAAAACTTTAACATTGCCCATAACTTTTGATTGGTTGGAGCTATGGCTTTCATATTTCACAAGTGTATTCCTTGTGAGAAGACCTTTCCTTGGGTACCACCATATTTGAACTTTTGACCTTGACCTTGGAGTTTGACCTAGTTTTACAAAATTTTACCCAACTTTAACTTTAGCCATAACTTTTGAACGGTTGGAGCTAGGGCTTTCATACTCCAAATGTGTAATCCTTGTGACAAGACCTTCCTTTGGATACCAACAACTTTGACCCTTTGACCTTGACCTTGGAGTTTGACCTACTTTGAAAAACTTTAACATTGTCCATAACGTTTGAACAGTTAGAGCTGAGGCTTTCATACTTAGCATATGTAATCCTTGTGACAAGACCTTCCTTTGAATGCCAACAACTTTGATCCTTTGATCTTGACCTTGGAGTTTGACCTACTTTTGTAAAACGTTAACATTGGCCATAACTTTTGAACAGTTGGTGCTAAGACTTTCATGTTTCACATATTTAATCCTTGTGACAAGACCTTCCTTTGGATACCAACAACTTTGACCCTTTGACCTTGACCTTGGAGTTTGACCTACTTTTGTAAAACGTTAACATTGGCCGTAACTTTTGAACGGCTGGTTCTAGGGTTTTCATACTTCACATGTGTAATCCTTGTGACAAGACCTTCCTTTGGATACCAACAGCTTTGACCCTTTGACCTTGACCTTGGAGTTTGACCTACTTTTGAAAAACTTTAACCTTGGACATAACTTGTGAACCGTTGGAGCTAGAGCTTTCATACTTTACATATGTAGTACTTGTGACAAGACCTTCCTTTGGATACCAACAACTTTGACCCTTTGACCTTAACCTTGGAGTTTTACCTACTTTTGGAAAACTTAAACCTTGGTCATAACTTTTGAACGATTGGTGCTTCAGCTTTCATATTTTACCAGTATATTTCTTGTGAGAAGGCCTTTCCTTAGGCACCATTATTTTTTTTACCATTTGACCTTGACCTTGATGTTTGACTTACTTTTGAAAAGCTTTAACCTCTTATATATCTATTCAATGGTTGCTGCTAGGGCTCTCATATTTCACAGGTATATTCCTCGAGACAAGACCTTACTTTGGGTACCAACATATTTGATTTGCATTTGAGAAAGTTTAACCTTTGCTATAAGTTGCCATACGGGGGCATCAGTGTTTCACAAACACATCTTGTTTTTTTTTTTTGCTCGTCAGATTTTTTGGGAAGTTGTGCCCCCCTCCCCAACTTTTGAAACCGTTGCTACGGGCCTGTATTTACGTGGTCATATACTTGGTCATGTAAGAGAAGATATGATTTTCTGCAATGACAGATAACTCTATAGTTAAGGAGGGATTCTTCTCATAAATCTTGTATTTAAAAATTAATGAAATTTTCATAGATTCAAGAAAACATCATCAATAAGTTCACGTGATCTTATCTATTATAGTAATATTGACCGTTTTATTTTAGAAAGAAGGTCAGGTCAAGGTCATTATCTTTTTTCCTTGACATCAAGAATAAAAAAAATTAACGTTGCCAATCATGAATAATTTAACTAAAATAGATGTTGGCTATAATCCGAATTCCTCCATTTTCCTTAAATTTTAAGGATAGTTCTTTTTACATGCTTCGTATATTTAAATTTTTTATTTTCCCATATGGTAAAGCAGTCATATAAAAATACAAAATGATACAAACACAAAAAGTTTTTGTCTGTTTACTAAGAGAGAAACCCCCCCCCCCCCACTTTTTAACGGATTTTTTGCTCAAATCTATACTTAGAATGGAACCTTTAAAAGCTAACAAAATTGAAGTTTGTTTAGAAAATCATATTTAATATGATCTGGGCGGTTGGCTTTTCAATAATTTCATGACTATATATTCTAAGAAAGAAATAGGGAGGGAGCCCACCCCCCACCACCTCCACCTTGTCCCTAATTCTTAGTGCCTGCTAAAAGAACTACTAACATGCGCGGATCTATATAGAGAGGGGGTCGGGGGTCCGGACCCCCCCCCCCTGGAATTTGCAGAGTTATTAAAAGTATATACTGAGGTAAACATAAAATGATTTTGGACCACCTCTAGAAAACGTGGACCCCATCATCACCGCCATGAAATAGTTTTTGCTTTTGTTTTTGTTTTTTTGTTTTTTGTTTTGTTTTGTATTTTTGTTTTTGCTTTGTCAGGAAATTTCTGGGTAGGGTTATTTTTTGACTGGGATGGACCCCCCCTGGAAAAAATTCCTGGGTCCACGCCTGACCTAAATACTGCATTCTGATTGCCTTGTGAGATTCATTTAACAGTCTATACCTTGTGTACAGGTTCTACACTGTGAAACTGTTTAAACTAGGAAAAGAGGGATATATGGGCACGAGCCATAGGCGCTTGATTTCAGGATGGTCAGATGTGTATTGTGTGTTTTCCATGTCTACATGTCCAAATGCACTCATGAAAATAAAAAGTTAAAAACCAATAATCGCTGAAACAGGCCCGTAGGAAGCAATTTCAGATGGGGGAGGGGGGCAACCAAACATTTTCAGTTTGGGGGGGGGGCACTACCAAAACTTCGAAAACTCCATGACAAGCCGAAAAAAAGGATCATCAGACGTCATTATTGAGGGGGCACAAGCATATTGTAGCTATGTTTTATATTTTATATATCGGCAATATTACTGAGGGGCACCCTGTGCCCCCTCCCCCCCCCCCCAAGGTTCCTACGTCCATGTGAAATTAGCATTTTTGTAAAAAGCTATCATATTTCTCTATAAAAAAAAAACATTTGATATCTTTAAAAATCCTAATTTCAGCGATTTTTGATTTTTATTTTAATCAAACATGGAAAAAGCAACATATTTACACAAAATACACCGTGCTGAAACTGACCAGGCGCCTATGTTGGGATCATGTAAAAAAAAAATCCACTAGAAATCCTAGTTCATTGGATTTCTTATGGGAAAACTTTCCCTGTTTATAAAAAAATCTATTAATTATGAAAATTAATGATAAAATCTTGAACTGTTGAAGAGAAATCCCCCCACCCAAAAAAAACCCCAACAAACCTTTTTTTGGGATCCACCCCTCAATATCATATGGAGCGCGCGAAAGTTGCGGCATATGTCGTAATATTTGTTTCTGCAATTTACTAACAATGTATAAAGACTAGTTTTGTGATTGATAATTGTAATTTCAATGTGTATAAATTTTGATAATAACAAAGGTTTCACCAGTGGTAAGCATATTATTTACAGATATTGTCTTTTGTTACACCGGATGTGACATCACAGGTATAGCAAGAAAAAATGTCGATGGTTGTGAACTTCAGCGAAAGAAATGACCAAAATATTCCTTTAGCGCCATGTCACTCATCTCTGGTATTTGTTTTTGCAAAGATTAAGATTTCATAATATGTCTGTTTTTATTTTAATGGACTTGTAGTATGAGAAGTGCGAGATTTCGTCTAGGAAAATGGCGTGTTACCCCAACGGCTGTATTTTGTACAACGTGCGAGGAAAGTTGAAAATGCAACACAGAAGCGTCAGAATTAAGTGATTTATGCAGAACAGTTTGTTGTTTACAAATGTAGCATTTGTCAGAATCTATGTTGTTTGTATCAGCTGATCATGTATTATATGAACTTAATAATTGTTCGTTAGGGCTTATAGGGGAGAAATAAGTTGATCTGATGTTGCATTTAGTCTCTGTATGCATTAGGCACTTTTAATGCTAGAACAAAATTCTAACGAGACTCAGAGTAATGATTTTATTTCCTTTTAAAGTATCATCTGAGTATTACTGAGTGACTGTCAATTAAGATTGATCAGTGGTAATCATTTAGCTCAGAGCACCTGTTAAGAGTTCAAAGTAGGGCTGTCACGGTTCCAAAATTGTTTGGGTTGGGTCGGTTCATTAAATTTTTGGTTCGGTTTAAGGTTTAAGTTGTTTATTTCAAACTTTATAATTTTCTTGAATTAAACTTGAAAAAATCTTTGTTACTTTAAATTCACTTTTAAAAACAAACCTTAACCATGTTAGCGTCTTGATATTGATGTTTAGGACTAATGACTGACTATTAGTGCCAAGATAACAAGGGTTACTCGTTTTGATAATCATCCCATCCTTTCGTGATAAGTGTTTTAATTGTCATGGATGAAGTAGATTTCAGTTCTGATGTTTATCACTGCTATCATCCTCATTCTTTTGGTTTCAATACCATTTTATTTTGTATGAAATAGATTCTAATATACAAACCAAATCAGAACCAAAATGCGGAAAAATGGAACAGAAACCAAACCGAACATCTTGGACCACCGTTTTCGGGTATTTCAGGGAACTGTGACAGCCCTAGTTGAAAGAAACTGGTCTTACCCATCCTATATTCTTTTTTTCCCCTTTTTACTGCTTGCAGTGATTCAGTTTGGAATGCAACCTCATAGGACAGAGGGCCAAAATGTTGAAAAAAGTATAGGCCTTTTAGGCATATAACTCTATGAAAACTTTCATCCACTAGTATATTCAGCATAATAAACATGGAAGTTAGACATCAACTTTTCATTTCTAAATATCAGCAGCTGATCAGTTTTATATATCTTTCCGGCTGTGGGTTTCTTGTCAAACATTGAAAGAATCATCATAGCTGAACCAGTGATTGGGAAGACCATAAAGGTCAATGGGACTATGGTGCAACTGTCAAAGTTTTTAATGGGCCATTTTGAAAATGAATGGGCCATCTATATATTCTGATGGGCCATTTGAAGAAAAAACAAAATGACAAACAAAATGTGAAATAGGAAAGGAAACACGTTTCTTTATTAACCAAATCTTATTTTTCACATATGGAGTGTTGCACATTTAATGGAACCCGCAAACAATATAATTTTCTCATATTTTCTAATCAATAACGTCAAAATCTCAATTAAACATGGGAAATGAGTGAGGTAATGTACCTTTGATGTCCTAAATAAAGCGCTTCATGTAACAGGAAACAGTTTTTGCCGGGTTTTAACCAATGAAATTTGTTGTATTAAAATGACTGCATTTAAAACGAAAGTAAAACAAGCAAGAAAGTCGTGCACAATATATTTCCAACTAACATCGCTAAATTTTGAATGCGCACCTTGGCGCCACCAATGGTTGATTTAATGCGCCAATTTTCACTTCAATGCGACTATGGCGCGTGGCGCAAGCCCTTCCCAATCACTGCTGAACTCGTATTACTCATCATTTCCATTAATTCTTAATCTCATGAATATTTCTTAGTTTAATATAGTGAATAAGATAAGTCAATTGTAACAGTTTTTCTTTTATGCAAACACTGCTAGTCATAATGGATGCTAGACATAACATTTTTCTCAACGCCATAATGTAGTACTGAAATCTTTGCAGCTCCTTAGTAATTTCTAAATGGTCTCTTCATTTTTGCAGTTTGCCATATTGTATGGCAGATAATCATAGGATGTTGTACTGTGTATGTGTGTGTGTTTTTTTTTTATCTTTTCTGAATAAATTGAAATTGATGTTCCTATGTTTAATGGTGGAGGGATATGGTTGTTAAAGGTGTCCAATAAGTTTTAAATATTAGAAAACACCTTACTAGATTTCAATTTATATAAGTTTAAATCCTTATCTGACTCTTCACTTTCTCCCTTTCTATCAAAACAAGGGAAAAAAACAGCTGAAACTGACAGATCATAGTTATATCTGGAAAGTTATCTTCAATGTTCAGAGATGCAAGTGTCAAATCTTTGTGTTTTTTTTTTTTTTTTTTTGCTTCTTCCCCTTTCATTATACATGGACATCAAGAATGAGTGAATATTGTATTTATTAAAACTTTTTTCCCCTTAACTTTAAAATCATAAAAGAAATTAAAGGTAAATATCCTGATGTCATCATTCATGTGATCATGTGGTGATAAAAGTACAAAGATTTATCACTAGTGTAGAGACTTTCAAGACAAATATTTATATTCACCTATTTATCAACCTACTTAGAAAAATATAATATTGATAATTTCAATAAACAGGTCAAATTTGTTAATAAATTAGTAAAGGCTTAGGTTTAAGAAAAGGCATATAATTTTTTTCCTTGTCTTTTTTAGGTCTTGAAGAAAAAGAGAAGTCCTCAGATCAAGGTTGGAGTGATTCCTGTAGGTTTCCCACTTCTGACTCTGTAGTTGAAGTTGACAGTCAAACATCAGACTCCGTACAACAAACCATAGTTGAACCAATTGAGACAGTAGTGATCAATTCTTCTCTGGAGGAGAGTGTAGAAATTGATAGCCAGGAAGGAGGTCTTGGCTTAAATTCATCAGCCCAGGAGAGTGGAAGTCAAGTGGTAGACAGTCAAACAAATGAAAAAGGGACTGAGAGTGACAAGTTTGAAGGGGCAAAATTTCAACAGAAACCTCAGTCGCAGGAAGAAGGAGAGGTTCAGATAGTGGAAAATGGAAGTGAGGCTGTTCAGAATAATGCTGCTGTGCAAGAGCAACAAAAGCTCAAATTGCAACCGTCATTCAATGCAAAAGGGCAGATAGAGTTAACATTAACAGGTACATGTAATAAACCTGAGGAAAAAGCTTTGCTTGAGAAACTATTGTCTAAAGTAAACTATCAGCAGCTGGCCAACCAAGTGAATTTATCGTCGGCTCATCCAGGTGCAGCACGACAAACAGTGCAAGTAAATTTAGCAACATCTGCTCAACCAAGTGCAACCCAACAAACAGTACAGGCAACAAGATCCCCACAGGTCCCTTTAGTTAGGACCACAATTGGACCTTCAACACCTTTGGCTCAGTTTAATTCTCAGTTGGGAACAAGTTCCTCTCAAACAAGAAGTCCACTTAATATTAATGCCATTCTTAATTGTGCAAATCAGGGAAAGATTTCCAAAGAAGATCTTCTGAAACTAATCAAAAGCTGCAGGACTGCAACAGGACTGAACACCCAGCCACAGAGTCCACAACAGCTGCAGGGCCAAAAAATTATTCAAGTCCAGTCAGTACCAACAGCAGCAGGAAACCAGGTCATTAATCCTGTTCTACTCGCTGCACCTGTGCAGAAAATTGGAACCGTTTCCCTGGCTAAGCAGACGACACTAGCAAATCTCATTCAGAGTAAAAGTAACCAGGGAGTTGGATCGGGTGGAGTGACCACATCTTCTAACGTGGGCAGTCCCCAATTATCTACTGACAATACTCCTCCGAAGGTTGTCCACATTGCTGCATCTACGCCAGTCAAACAAGCAACAACAGTAAACAATAACCAAGTGTACGCAAAGTTTGTATTATAAATCATGATCATATCTTTTGCATATTTTATCAGTTACATGTAAGTTTAAAACAACCATTTGAAATGAAATGTTTGTTGTTTTTGAACATTTTCACATCAAAACAGAGAATTTTTCTAAGATTTAAACTTGTTAAAGAATATTTGTAGAATTTAAGAGCTAAACAAGAAAATGATTTTCTTTTTTTTGTTTTATTTGACTGTGTGCTATTTTCAGTAACAGCAACTTGACCCTGACCAGTCCACAGAAAGTCCAGACTGTCGGGAGTCTCCAAACTGTGACCTCAAAAAACCAGACTGTTATCATACCAAGTGGTGCAACTCAGTACATCATTGTAAATCCAGGAACACCGATACAAAAAGTAAACCATCAGGCTGTAGGAAACCAGCAGGCATCAGCAGCTGTCAATTCCGGAGTGAAGTTAGCAGGGGCACAATTGACTACCCCAGTCAGAATCATTCATAGTGCTAGTCCACAGTTGAGTCAGGTTCAGACACCTCTCGCCAGTCCCAGCTTCTCAGCTAGTCAGTCTCCCACAAAAATTGTCATTCCCCAAAACTTTTCTGTGTTAACCTCTGTTGTGGATAATGCAAATATTCCCTCTACTCAAGGAGTGGCAATTTCAGTTCCACCTGGGACTAATGTGAATTCTCAAACGTTGGGGAGAGGGATCGCAAATAGACGAGGACCTCAGGTCAGGCAACCGAGGCCACAAGGTCGAGGCAAACGGACCATTAAACAGAATTATTTTGTAAATCCGGCCTCAGCTCAGGCAGGGTCTGCCACATCTCCTGTTCAAATCCGACCCCAAAACTGTAACGATGCTATAAAAGCTGTTCCACTTTCACAGCCAGTGATTGTTGCAAGAACACAAAGTTCTGGACAACTTGTGCAATCTAACATTATTAAACAACAGGTGAATCATACTGGCATCTCTATGAACAAACTGGAGGGTGCTTCACCAGGACAAAGTAATTCATCATCTCTAGTGAATTACAGTGATTCGGACTCACCTTCGAATTCATCGGATAAAGGTGAGAGTGAATCCTCATCAGAACTGTCCAAGTCTCAGACCTCAGGTGTTCGGACACTTTCCAATGGAGCGCTGGTGATGCCAGATATCTTATCAGAGGCCATTGCTAGGGCAAAACCAACTGATAAAATTTTAGTGAACTTCACGAACAGTAAAGGGGCTGTGAAGTTTCAAAAAAATACTGTGTACAAAATTCCATGCAAGGGAGAAAACAAATTCTACAGATACGATGGGCAATACCTTGTGCCAGCCAATGGTAAATTTTTGGGTGTGCTATAGTACTTAATCACTTTGGCTAGTTATCTGTGTGCCACTTGGGAACCTCTTCCTATAGACTTGATACATTTATTCACTACAATACATAGGTGGAGGTGGTTAGAGAAATACACCAAGTTTATCAGTTAGGGTCACTGTGCAATTTCAAGGTCATAATTCAGGATAATTGCCATGACCTTTAAAATATATATATGTATGCAATAGCTTGTGTATTTTATAAGCTTCATAATTACTACATAAGAGTGTCTAAGAAAAAGGGTTCTTTGTACTTGGTCAGAGGTCAAGGTCAGAGGGAGAGGTTATTGATATGATCTGTCTAATGCAACATCTAAAAAATTTTAAAAAGAAATTCTATAGAATACTGTCAGGTTGTGATTACATTTATAACTAGTTTACATTGGTGCTGAAAACATTTACAGTCAAACAGCAATAATGCCCAGACAAGAATATCTTGGGAATGTTACTTTTATTTCAGCAAGACATTAACTTCTACATGTTGTGGAAGCAAAATTTTATAACAGCCATGAATGTAGAGTAGTTCAGGTTGAAGCGACATTGAAAATTTGACTGTTGTAGAAACCACCTTTGGCCTGATTGGAGGGGGAGTGGGGAACAGAAAAGAGAAACCACTTCGGGGCAATGCCACAGGGCTACACATGACTACTCCACAACAAGGGAATAGGTAAAGTATTACTACAGATCTTGTATATTTCCAACAGCCAAAGTGTGGCTACAAATGTAATACTAATTAAGATTATATATTATATAACATGTACATATAGAAATATTGTACCTTTGAGAGTGGCTGGTAAAGTTTTTCCAAGTGTATGTAGGAAATGTAGTAAAAAAAAATGATAGGAAACTAGAAATTCTATCTAGTCATGAAAATTTCACATGTTAATTCAGCAGTGCCAGGTCATTCCTCAATGCGGCAGAAGCTGTCGGCAAGGTGTTCAAGGAGGGTCGATTTTGGAAACACACAGCTGGACCGCAGAGGACTATTTTTAGGTAAACTTTATATTTTCAGATATACAAAATATTTTGTCAGTCATTGTAAACTCTGAAATGTAGATATGATGTGCTTTGAATACCTCACCTACATGTGCCTTTTATTTTCTTGTCATCATATGTATGGAGCGTAAATTCTAGTTTGTATGTATGGAGTCAGTTGCTTTTACCACGCTTGTAGACTGGATGGGGTTTCCTGGAATGAAAACATGCATACATTATCATACTTATAGACCCCAAAATAATAGACCATCAAAATTATATATTACTTAGCAGTCCTGTAGTAAATTTCATTTCAAAATGAAGAAGCAATTCATAGTATTTTCTACACAGTCCTTGGAATTAATCTTTAACAATTGTACCGTGGTTTTAAAAATTTTCATAGGGAACAAATTTTGTGGTTTTGGCAAAAAAATACAATTTCATTGATGCAGGTATGTAAATTTGAGGACACCTCTTCATCATATTCTATCGTTGGTATAATTTATAGATCACATAATTTCATGGTCGGGATTAAACGTTGAAAACTGGTGTTAAATAGAAAAGAAAAATACTGGAACCACAGTATTATGAAGGTGGAATTAAATTTATGGCATTGTTTTCTACAGATTGGCCAACAATACTGACCAAGATACAGATGAAGAAACTTCTGGTAAGATGAGAAATGTCAAGATTGTTTGAAGTGTCAATTTAGGCCTATGAAAAAAATAGGTTTGTTGTGACATGGTTACAAAATGGACTTAATTTTATGCTCTGATCCAAATATTATTTTCATTGAAAATGTTCCAACAATTGCATATCTGTACGTTTTCATTCATACCTTATGGTTTATAGGTTGTAATGTCACATTTTTTAAAGCCGTTTTTAAAGCTGTCAGTAGAATGTAAAAAAAAGGGAAGATTTTATGTTTTTTATTAGCATACAGTAAACATATTTTTTTCTTGGGCCTTACATGTGTATTAATTTAATAAATACATGTAGTACTATATGTATTTTGGAATGACAAAATTTTACAAGTTTGTATAGGTCCTTAGTAATTTATTTGAGGGTATTTTTTGGCATTAGTTATTTTATACTGAACATTGCAAAACAGAACAAAATGACGGAGTAAATTTTGACCTGTTTTGAATGTTTATAACATTCAACTTGCTTATTTCATTTGTATAATGACAATCACACTATTCAAAACATTGAAATCTACGTACAATTTCAATTTCAGAATTAACTAGTCAAGATAACAAGCAAGGAAAGAAAAGACCCATTGAGGTAAGAATTCACGGAAGAAATTAGTTTTTATTAGAAAATATTATTAGTCAGTGTAAACAACTTTGTTGTACTTAATGGTTTAAACATGACTGCAACTATTACATTTTGGGATTAACTGTAGATAGAGATATATTTGTAATGGAGTGAAAATTTACATAAAGTCAATTATTAGACATGGTTAATAATTTAATTCCTCTGCTTATAGGATGTATCTGATTTACCCCCTATCAATGATGATGAAATGCGAGTGGTTCACTGTAAATTCTGTGGCTATACCAGCATGACTGTCAAATCATGTGAACGATGCTGTCGAACTTTCCCAGCTGACACTAAAATAGAAATCCAGAAAAAGAAATTGAAAACGGATGTTGAAAATAAAGAAGAGGATACAGCGATCTCAAAACAAACTTTTTATGGAAAGACAGTGACTAATCAAGTTGTGTTACACCCTGCTACTAACAGGGATGGGAATATTGTGTATGTTAACTACGTCACTAAGGGACGGCGTGTGAATCTGGAAGGGAAAACGTACAGGTCTCCGTCAGTGATCCGCGGAGCTAAGCAACCCAAGAAGATACACACCTTAGAGCCAGGTAACAGGCATTTTGTTTAATTTTAAATGTTATTCCAGGCCCAAAGACCTAAACTGAGAACATACTTGTGTCAAATTTTAGATTCTGAATATCTTGATTTTTATTTAACAAATGTTTAAAAATTTACAAGTGGAAAGACAGACACATGATGAAATTCTTTTGAATTAAATCACTAGTCAAAAGACCATTTTGTTTGAAGTCAAAATCCATGTTATGAAATTTCTTCAACTCATATTGAATATGTACCATTTGATATGGACATAAAATTTTACATTGTATATGAATTCTACAGTGTACAAAGTCTCTCGGCTATATTCATATTACCTATTCTGTATTGCGTATTTGATATATTTCTATTATTTTTCAGTAACAATATCAATATCATCCGATGAGGAGGAAGAAACAGAGAAATCAGGCATCCCAGAATCCCCTGCCACAGGAAGTGAACCCCAAGCTACTGTAGAGAAGGATGACATCGGTCAGCTCCTTGACAACATTCCTCAGAGCAAACGCACAGCATCACCAGTTTTCCAGAACAGCAGGATGAAGAGAATGGAGAATGAGGTACTGGAAATATTACTGCTGTAGAATTAGAGCAGACGTCTTAACATTTTTTTTTCTGAACTTCAGATTTCATGACTGCTATACATATACAGTAAAACTCCATTATGAACATGATGAAGAAGTCACTGGGACATTGAATTTTGCTTCTTTATAATGAAGATTCTTTATATTCTAATTACACAGTCCATTATTCAGTTTACAGGTCTAGTGTATTGCCTTTCATTGTTAGAAACTGTTCCATCTTTATGATTCAGATACCAGGAAATATGAACATTAAAACATACTGCTTTAATCTACATGTATGTGCAGTGAAGTGTTCATCATAAATTGTATTTTACACAGGAGGGGATACCAATCATTAGAAAGACAGGGAAGAGGAAATCTCCAACAATGCCCCCATCTCAGGGAACAGCAACAAATGTCCCTCCCAACGAGTTGGCAGATCCCCAACGATCTGAAGAAGCAATGGATGTGTCCATTGTGGATTTCCACGCTAGAGTCATCCATATTGGATCAGTATTGGGCTGTCCTGTTGAGCCTGTTTTCATTGCTGAGGACTCAATCTCATTTCAAGTTGAATGTAAGCAAACCTGTATAAACAGAAGAGTTTTTCTATACATATCAAAATATGAGTCACATTTTTGATGAGCTGAGCTTGTATATGTGCCATACTGTCATTGAATATGAATATAGTAGAACATTCAAAATGTAAAGTGATGAAATAGTTGGATTCAAAAGTTTTTATTTGTTTCCCATTGTTTACATACGAATATGTCCTTTGGGTAGGTAGGTAGGAAAAATAAATTGCTCTTTTGCCCCAGAACGAAATGATTTATAGTGAGGCTTATCTTTTTTTTTTCCATTTAAAAAGTATTTTGATTGATTTTGTTTTGTTTGGTTGGTGCTTCAGCTCTTGTATGTTCATATATATAAATTAATGCAGTGTAATATTAAATGTCATTTGTATTTTCTAGGTGAGGATAACACACATAAGTTTATTATCAAACCAGATGAACTACAACAGTGTATGTATTGTCTGGAGAATAGACCTGTCATATTTCTCAAGACAACTCCAGAATTTGCAAGGAAAGTTCGGGAAATGTTGAAGTTGGAGACGGTGAATGGGGAAAATGGTTTTGATCCTAATGATCACGGTAAAAAAAATTTCTTTCTGTTCAAAGTAAAGAAGTGTTTTACCTCAGAGCTTGGATCAATGTGATATAAACAGAACTGGAATTGTTAGGTACAGATGAAACCAGTAGTAGTACTGTAATAGGCCATACCATAGGACTGATCAATATTTTTGTATTAACAATTTTAAATATGAAGTAATCATTCTGCTATATTCTTTCAGTAATGAAACATCAGTTTATCACCATTTTGCTGGTCAGTTTGGGATCTCTAACCTCACAGAAACTTGAGTGTGTACTCAGAAAATACCCACAGCCAAAGGATACAACTTTTAATTTCATTCAACAAATGACAGCCAATGAGGCAGCTCTGTATCTGAAGGAGATTCAGGGAGATGAAAGCATGTCTGAGCCCTCTACACCTCAACCCCAGCCCCATGAAAGGTCACCTTCGCCACCAAAGATACTATTCACTGGTCCAGTTGTCAAGTAAGTCTTCAGATGTCATTGAAAATTATACACCCCCCCTCCCAATATTGGTTGGTGTACACGGTCTGAGGTATTCTGTAGATGTTGCATCTGTCTGCATGTTATACTTGCGTGACTGATTTATGAGAGTATTCTGTGTCCATATTTAGTGAAAGGAGTTTACTGTTAATCACTTTTCATTCATTCATCATCTGAATTTTCACAAAATTATGTGAGACCATTGGCACTGGAAAATTTCATTCTCGCATTTTTAAAAAAAGATTACATACAACAACAATTACGTGTACCAGAATTTGTGAAAACTGTGTCACAAAAATTTGGTGCAGTATCATGTGATAGTAATCAATTAGGAACACTCTTAATTTAAGATGATTGAAGACTAATCTCTCAGTGTCTATACCTGGTTTATATGGTGGCATGCTAAGAAAACTAGAATCTTACCCCCCCCCCCCCCAACAACAACACACACACCAGGGGTTGGGTATTTGATTAAATTGAATAATGAAAAAATGTAGCAGGAAGCCAGTTTATCACCTTTTTATGCCCCGCCATGAATATGGCCGGGGCATATAGTGTTTGTCATGTCCGTCTTCCGTCCTTCCGTCCTTCTGTCCTTCCGTCACACTTTGCGTTTAGCTCTGTTCAAAGCTCAGTTTCAAAGAAACTATCCAAGATATTTTTATCAAACTTCATATGCTGATAGATATTGATGAGGGCTATGCAACTGCATCAACATTTTTTGACCTTGACCTTTCCTTTGACCTTGACCTCACTTTTCTTAAATTAGTGTTTAGCTCAGTTTTAAAGATACCATTCAAGATAGTGTAATCAAACTTCATATGTTGATACATACTGATGTAAGCTATTCAATTGCATCAACATTTTTTTGACCTTGACCTTTATTTTGACCTTGACCTCACTTTTCTTAAATTAATGTTTAGCTCAGTTTTAATGAAACCATTCAAGATATTTTTAACAAACTTCATATGCTGATACATACTGATGAGAGCTATTCAACTGCATCAATATTTTTTACCTTGACCTTTCCTTTGACCTTGACCTCACTTTTCTTAAATAAGTTTTTAGATCAGTTTTAAAGATACCATTCAAGATAGTGTTATCAAACTTCATATGCTGATACATACTGATGAGAGCTATTCAACTGCATCAACATTTTTTGACCTTGACCTTTCCTTTGACCTTGACCTCACTTTTCTTAAATTAGTGTCAAACTTCATATGCTGATACATACTGATGAGAGCTATTCAACTGCATCAATATTTTTTGACCTTGACCTTTCCTTTGACCTTGACCTCACTTTTCTTAAATTAGTGTTTAGCTCAGTTTTAAAGAAACCACTCATAATATTTTCATCAAACTTCATATGCTAATACATACTGATGTAACCTTTTCAACTGCATCAAAATTTTTTGACCTTGACCTTTCCTTTGACCTTGACCTCACTTTTCTTAAATTAGTGTCAAACTTCATATGCTGATACATACTGATGAGAGCTATTCAACTGCATCAATATTTTTTGACCTTGACCTTTCCTTTGACCTTGACCTCACTTTTCTTAAATTAGTGTTTAGCTCAGTTTTAAAGAAACCATTCATAATATTTTCATCAAACTTCGTATGCTAATACATACTGATGTAACCTTTTCAACTGCATCAAAATTTTTTGACCTTGACCTTTCCTTTGACCTTGACCTCACTTTTCTTAAATTAGTGTCAAACTTCATATGCTGATACATACTGATGAGAGCTATTCAACTGCATCAATATTTTTTGACCTTGACCTTTCCTTTGACCTTGACCTCACTTTTCTTAAATTAGTGTTTAGCTCAGTTTTAAAGAAACCATTCATAATATTTTCATCAAACTTCATATGCTAATACATACTGATGTAACCTTTTCAACTACATCAACATTTTTTGATCTTGACCTTTCCTTTGATCTTGACCTCACTTTTCTTAAATTAGTTTCTGAATCAAACGTCATATGCTGATACATACTGATGTAAGCTATTCAACTGCAGCAATATTTTTTGACCTTGACCTTTCCTTTGACCTTGACCTCACTTTTCTCAATTTGTGTTAAAATGTTGCATTACTAATATACCCTTGGCGGGGCATTCATGTCCTATGGACATATTTCTAGTTCTGTTATTAATCCATTATTTAGAGTACTTAAAATTAGCATTTTACTTGGAACGTGGTACATGTATAATACATGCATGTATACCCATGCAAATTAATTATTCATATTGATTTGTAGGAAAGACAGTATATACAAGTATATTAATTTGATATTGTATTGTAGACTTATCACATTTCCACCCCCTCCTGCACCTGGAGGGATTCAGGTCACAAATGAAGATCTGTCCTGTCTACAGGAGGGAGAATTCTTGAATGATGTCATCATCGACTTTTACCTCAAGTAAGTAATTAAACTTTATGATAAATTTGGCATGAATCTGCTATATTATGTTTGGTAATTTTATACACAAACTGTGTAGAGGAAAAGTTCATTTTTGCATAATTTCCTATTCTCTGTGAAGTCGCAAATTCTAAGATTTTTATTTTAATCAGTCTTTAAAAACATGTAAATGCGTACTTTGAGCTAATTGAAGCACCATCAATCATGTGACTGTGGAAAGTAAGAGGAATGAATATAAGCCCCTATACAGTACTTTCACATCTCTCCAGTAGATTATAACATACTGATATTTTGTAGATATCTATTCCTGAATGTACTGAGTGACAAAGACAGGGAGAGGACACACATGTTCAGCTCGTTCTTCTTTAAACGTCTGACCCAGAGACAAGGTCGCTGTGGACCAGAGGACAGTATGGCAGATAAAACGTAGGGTCATAAAGAAGGAAATAATTCACCATTCTGTAGGAGTTTAATAAATATGAGAAAAAGTTAATTGTATAGCGACAGAAAATGGAAGCCCATAAAACTTTACTTAGGCCAAACAGTTCTTTACTAGTAGAGGGGTGATACTCAGATCTTTTCTTGTTTTATATCTTCAGTATTTAGTTATTATTTGCCAATATTGGATAAAAGTTTCATAATATTTATGATTTAATTTTGAGTAAACTTGCAGATTCTTGCTATTATTAGTCAGTTGAGTAGACTGAGTAAAATACATAGCAATATCATTTGATAAGCGCAGCACTGTTTATCATTCAAGAATAGGGAAAAATTTGAAGCGTACGAGTAATACAAGATGTGTACACATTCAAATCCTCTTTTCATAGATGAAGAAAAGTTCTTTATTTCTGTTTATTACCTGAATTACTGTCTGGCAATATACAATACAATATAACCAGTGTCATTTACTGTTTATTCAAACCATGGATTTAGGGTTATGTATCATACACAATGTTGATTAAACATTTTATAATTTCTTTATAGACCAGCAGAGAAGAAGCATGCCAGGGTCAAAAACTGGACAAAGAAAGTGGATCTTTTTGAGAAAGACTTCATTTTTGTACCAATTAATGAACAGTGAGTGTCAAATATTTTCAGTAATCAAAGTGTAACACATGAAATATGTATTTCCAGTCATCATAACACTCTTATCCTTCAAGTGCTTTTAAAACAACATTATGATTAAGATTACATTTGAAAAAAGAAGAAACTAAATAGCAGCAAAATTTTTTCTTCCACAGAATATTAATTAAAATTCAGAAAATGCTGTACTGAAAAGATAATTTTTTAATATAAACCAAAACCCATTTATTGCCAGGGAAATTGATAAAAAAAAAACAAAAAAAACTTGAATTTACCAAGAAATTTATTATTGTTAATTTAGTTCTCATTGGTTTCTGGCTGTGATATGCTTCCCTGGACTTCCGAGTGCCAAACGTATAACTTATGTTCCAAAGTCAGCCAGTACGGAAACCCAGCCGGTGACAGGACCAGAAGTCTCTCCTCAGGACCTCAATTCGAAAGAGGAAGGAGGGATGGGAAAGGAACCAGTCAAATCAGAGGCAGGAGGGCTAGAAAAGGAACCAGTCAAATCACTGAAAGGTTATCGGATTCCAAAGGTTGTAAAAAACGGTGAACCTAGTAGTGAAAGTGGTGATGGATCAGTGAAGTGTTTACCTTCAGAGGAGAACAGCAGAGAGAGTGGGAAAAGTGCTTTGGAGTCTATGGAGACAGATGAAAATTCTCTGTCAGAAGGCCAGGTGAGTGGAAGGGGTATTTTTGTTGGGAGGATGGAATAATATATAACTGGACTTGCAGAATGATTCTGAGATTTTGGTGATGCAGAGCTAAAACCAATGGGGGATTTTTTTAGTTTTTGCTAAGTTTGAAACTTCATTTAAATGAAATAAGGCATTTTCTTTTAACTGACTTATAAGTAGCTGTTAAACATTAAATGTCCCATTTGTGCATTTTTTTTTTTTTGAATTGAATCAAAATCACAGTAATATGTATTATGGTGCAACCATTGGGGGAACACAGTTGTACGATCAACAACGTTTACATAGCTTATGTACACGTCTACCTTTGATTTGCCTCTTCAAACTTCAAAGGTATGAGACGCAGTCTAGACTGTGACATCCCATGACGTCGCATATTAGTTGCATTTCCATAACAGAATCTGATTAGTTCAATTTTTAATTTACTGTTCATTGTAAAGTAGATGCAATTTTTTTTATATTTTGGTTGCTGTTTTTTAAGCTCTTTGCAAGAACTTAATCCTCATAATAACTGTGGGCCTGTTATAGTCACTATTATCATATGGGATTGTGGAAGTGAAAGGACTCTGGGAAGGTTTCAGACAAAAATTTGCTTGAAAGATGTCTAGATTTCAGTTTGAATTTCCTCTGATTTTACACATTAGTCAATAGAGCTCGCTGTGCTTGCTATGAATTGTTGAAAAAATTATTTATATTCCGTTGAATACAGTTGAAATGATTTTGCATGGACTAAAATGCAAACTGAAATGGTTTTTAAAACAGTCAACGTTTCTTTTTTTCTTTATGCACAGAAAAAAGAAATAGCTGAAGATTCAGAAGAAATGATGGACACAAGTGAAAGTCCTACCCAGTCTGAAATTGAGCAAAGCCAGACAGACACAGAGAAATCTAAGGACCAGTCTGACTCCAGTTCACAGGACACAGGCAAAAGTGAAAGTGAAAGTAAAACTGAAACCAATAACCAAGTCAAAGCCAAAGCATCAAAACCTGTTTTCAAAGCAACAGTGAGGGTGAGTTTGTGTGTAAATGAAGTCAACTTAAGCGTTCATGGATGTAAATGGCTCAGATTTATATATGTACATTGATGTCCATATTTTCCCTTGGTATGATAAAAAAAATGTTTTTGTAGTGAGATATTGTAGTATAGGACACAGTTTCAAGTTAAAACTGTCAATTGCTTATCAGAATACAGAAGTGTGTTTGTAAATAATTGTTATTCACTTATCAACTGTCCGCAGACTCTGGTAATTCTTAGTTTTCCTTTGCTTATGTTGTAGGATCTGCGAGGAAGAGAGCTTACAGAAGAGGAGTTGAAAGATCCTAGCTCTCTGAAAACTTTTACCACAGGCTGTAGACAGTAAGTCAGTTGTAGTACAAGCTGTAGACAGTAAGTCAATTGTATTAGAGTAAGTCAGTTGGATTACAGTAAGCCAGTTGTATTACAGGCTGTAGACAGTAAGTCAATTGTATTACAGGCAGTAGACAGTAAGTCAGTTGTATTACAGGCTGTAGACAGTAAGTCAATTGTATTACAGGCAGTAGACAGTAAGTCAGTTGTATTACAGGCAGTAGACAGTAAGTCAGTAGTACCACAGGCTATAGACAGTAAGTCAGTAGTACCACAGGCTATAGACAGTAAGTCAGTTATATTACAGACTGTAGACAGTAAGTCAGTTGTATTACAGGCAGTAGACAGTAAGTCAGTTATATTACAGACTGTAGACAGTAAGTCAGTTGTATTACAGGCAGTAGACAGTAAGTCAGTTGTATTACAGGCAGTAGACAGTAAGTCAGTAGTACCACAGGCTATAGACAGTAAGTCAGTAGTACCACAGGCTATAGACAGTAAGTCAGTTGTACCACAGGCTGTAGACAGTAAGTAATTGTATTACAGGCTGTAGACAGTAAGTCAATTGTATTACAGGCTGTAGACAGTAAGTCAGTTATACAATGCGGACTCGTTATTACGATGTTCATTGTCACGGTAAAATATTGTAATACCGAGGGCAACGTAATAAAAGTACCCAATAAAATCCAGTAAAACATCGTTTTGAAAGCTTGTTGTTGTATTAGGAGGTGTATTTTTCTCCTTTTATTTTCTTCTTCTGTTCAAATTCTTCATTAAAATGCTATATACATATAATTTATTAATAACTTATTTTGAATAGATATCTTCATGATGCTATTTCTTCTATTTCCTTCATTTTAAAAGAAATGTGCACATTTTTTATAAAAACTTCGGCAATCTTCATTTGCCGCCATTTCCTTTTACTTTCGTTTCTGTCTAGATAATGCGTTCGTAAAATTTTCAATGTCTTCATATCGTTACTACATAAATAACAACAATACATCACTGGGCGGTTTTGGGTGTTCAATGAGCTTAGAGCTGCAGTGAACAACTGATGAAAGTGGGCAGTGTGATAGGCATATTCCTGGACAGGATTTGAGAACACACAAGCTAAATGTCAAAATAAATTTGAACTTTTAAATTACTGAACAGAGTTCAATTAGCAGTTCAGCAATTATCGATTTGTATTTCTGTTGACACCTGTGAGGTAGTCCAAGCCACTATCCAAGCTGTTAAAACATTAGTGGAGTTCAAATTTTGCCAAAATTATGTTTGATACCCAAGCTGTCAATTCCCACTGTTTAACTGCAAACGAAATTACACATTATGTATTTAACATACATGCAAACGATTAAATGTAACCCTTTATTTAATAAATTAATTTTACTTCTTAACCATAGTAAAAAAAAATAATAAAATAAACTTTACAGAGATAGATAAACTAGAGACTACATTTATAAATAAACAGTTTAATTGTTTAACAATGGCTTTGACACGTCTCCAATTCTGCTGACCTCGCTAGAACAGTCAAGGTGTGTGCAGTCAAGTGTCACTTATCACCTAACGGCCCTGCAAGTTAACACTCTGTCAGAGCACAGGTGTTTCAATGTTTATTTAGCGTCTCCTTAATTGTCTACAGTCGATCAACACTGAATAAACACAGGGTGAAAAAAATTTTGGACAGAATTTTTACATCGTAATACCGAGTCCGTGCATTTTAGGACATCGTAATAAACAGGTTTTTTTTGTATAGATTTGTTAAGAAATGGTTTTGTGCTTTGAATTTACAACGTAAAAAGCGTTCTATCTTATAAAACCGTCACCATAATAACGAGTCCACACTGTATTACAGGCTGTAGACAGTAATTCAGTTGTATTACAAGCTGTAGACAGCAAGTCAGTTGTATTACAGGCTGTAGATAGTAAGTCAGTTGTATTACAGGTGAAATATAGTCAATGTTCTGTTCTATTTCAGGCCCTGCATCTTAATTTTTGATTCCTTAGCAGGACAGAGCAGGTCTCGTATTGTCGCCATCCTCAAAGAGTGAGTTATTGTCATTGATTGTTTTAGCATCTTGGCTTAATTTTTTTTCCTCGAATTCAAAGTATTTAGTTATTTTGTTTCAATATACTTAAAAAAGAGTTTATTACAGTGAACTTGAAGAAGATACATGTGTCATACTTGTATTCAAATACACTTTTCATTGAAAGTTTCATTGAAATGTAATTTTAATTGGCAGGTATCTTCAGGTAGAGTGGGACACTAAAAAGAAAACGCCCAACAGTCTGAGGGAGAGAATCCGTGGCTGTACTGCCACCAAGGTCCCTCAGCAAACCAATTTCAGTGACTGTGGCGTATACATACTGCAGTATGTGGAAAGCTTTTTTGAGGTATACAAGTTTATCATTTAAGAAACGATCAAACCATACTACTTGTGCATTGTTAGGTCAAGCTCTGGGGCCATAAAACAGATGAGATCGCTTTCTGATCTCCACGTCACTTTTACATATTAAGAAATTTATTGTGGAAAATTGAGACTCTGATCAAAAGTGAACTCATATACATGTAAGTGTTAAGGTCCCAGAGCCAGTTTTGTGTATATTAATCTCATGTACTTTGCATTTGCCAGTGTTTTTATCCCCAGTAATCAGATCTAGAGATGCAGGGGCATACTGTATGTGTACTTAAGAAAGCGGGATTCATATTTTTGCGGCTTTGGCGGGTACAACAATGCATGAATTCATGAATACTGTTAAAAATCATTTATAAATACAAAATATGACACAGACGTGTGTAGTGCTAATTCATGATTATGCCAACCACTCAATATCCAGTGATTGCGCTAAATTTTGAATATGTCAATTTATGTAAATGTACAGTATACTGTAATTTTTGGTCTGTCTGTATCTAGCTGTCTGTTTGTCCCATAAAACTTTAACCTTGGTTATAACTTTTGAATGGTAGGTGCTAGGGCTTTCATATTTTACATGTATGCCTTGCGATGATCTTTTTTCTTTTGGTATCAGCCCTTTTGACCTTATGACCTTTGAAAAACTATAACCTTAGCCATGAGCTGCAATATGGGGACATCAGTGTTTCACAAACACATTTAACTTGTTTCATTCTCACCTCTTGTTATTGTTATGTTCCAACCCCCCCCCCCCCCCCCCAAAAAAAAACAAAAACAAAACAGTTATCTTGAATACTTTTTTAATTGGTTAGGAGAGTTTTAAAAGATTTTAATTTTTTGTAATATCTGCAGTTTATTTAAAAGCAAAATGCTTTTGTGGTTAGAAATCATTTGCTGCACAGTGTGTCTAGATTTGCATTGAAAAGGAACAGAAGCGAAATGTATCGTATCAATTTTGGAGCAAATTTGACGATCTAATCTGAAGACCTGACACCAATCTGTATATTGTAGGATCCTATATATAGGACTTTAGTTTTGCTCTAAAATCTGTATCGTAAAGACTTAACAATAATCTCTGTTTTGTAGGATCCCATCCAGGATTTTAGTATTCCACTGAAATCTCTGTCTGACTGGTTCACAGAAGAAAGGGTCACTGCCAAAAGAAGTGAAATCAGGGAACTTGTGATGAGTCTAAAAGAAAGTCAAGAAAAGGGCAAGTCCTGACCCCATTGTATGGAATATGGTAGCTTTCTCTCAAACCAAGGTGATGTTGGAAGTGTTTACAGGTTCATTTGAACTTTAATTCGTTTCAGTTTTTTGGTTATTTTCCCCAACCATATTACAACTGGTGCTACAGAAACAGATGTTCTGGGTGTTTTTGTTATTTGTATGGGGTGAGGGAAATTCTGTATGAAAATGAAAAGCAGTTAAACAGCATGCTAGTTGAAACTTCAGATGATTTTTCCCCCCTTGGATATTACTGGTATCAAGTTCATTCAGTGAATTGTTCAAGAAATATTCAAGGATTTACGCAGGTTGAAACTTCACACAGAACTTGGAGACGCTCTCAGGAGAGATTAAAAAAAAATGTTGAAAAATATTCAGTATTTCACAGTGAATATTTATTATTCATTTTGTGTTCAATATTTAATATGATAATTAAAATCTATGTGATATGACCGGAGGCCATTATGATGGAATAAGACCGAATAACCACTAAGAAACTGTACATAGATTGGACACCGTTGACTGTGCTGTGTATAGAAAATCTGTGTTCTGTTCAGTCTGTCCCTGTAAGTGAAATTTCAGGGAGACATAATTATCAGGAGCATTACATTTATGTAGAAAATTGAAATCTGAAAGCCATTGCATTGTTTGAAGATTTAATATAGTAAAAATTTACATAACGTTTGTGAGTTTATATTCAAAATGTGTTGAGTTGCATCTTGGGAAAATCTGTAAGAAAATCAACAAATGATGTTACTCAAAGTAAATGACAAGCACATGTAAATAAACAATTTATTGTATGTTTTGGTGATTTAAAGTTGTATTTGTTGGAGAGATTTGTTGAGAGAGAGTGAATGCTGTTTGTTGCTATGTTAATATTCCATTTCAAATATTTCTGAATGCTTAAAAGCTTCCCTCAGAACTATCACATGGTTGTAGATGGTGCAAAATTAAGATATTTTGGTATGAAATATGCATGTTATATAAGTATAAAATTGCAGTATTGGTAATCTTCTTGAACAATTACATGTAATGTGTAAATTTGAAACCTCCGATTTTGTATTAGATTAAAAATCAAAACTTAAATTGTTAAAGAAACAGATATAGCTAAATACCCATTCAGCAGTTTAAGAGATTTCCCGTACATGAAACCAAAAAAAAAATGTACTTTTTTAAAAAATGAACATAATAGAATGTGATCATGGGGAAATATGCCTTTTCTTCTTATGTTGATATTTCTGAAAATGCTTGCAGCAATACTTTGTTGTTTGCTGCACAATTCCTTATGAGTACCTTATTTGTATAAACAAAATCATGGATCATTCATCATTAAATTTAATGTTACTTAATGTTCACCTGGTGTTGGTTAATATTTTAAAGCTTTGGTAAAACTGAAACTTTAGTAAAAACTGAAACATTTTAGAATGTTTTAATACACTGTATCTCTGTTTTATTTGCATATGCAAATAAATACAAATAGATAAATTGCAGCATAAAAGCTGCCAAAGAACCTAAGAGTGAAAAGTATATCATAAAAGGAGATTACTCAAGATTGAACTTGAACTCAATAGTTTTGAACCTGTCTTTGTTTGGTAAAATAATTTACTAACAGTTGTTTACAGGGCACTGAAATTACAAGCTTCTGATAAAATATTGTCATGTTACTTTGTCAAGCATAAGTATTAATCAGGTTCTGTCAGATGCAGCCAAAAGTTTGTAGGGGTTGTAGCACATTAAAACATGTGACTTGCAAAGATGTTGTATCTGGGTCTTAAAATCTTGAGTGTAGGAAACTTGGAAGAAGTACTTTGCTACAAAGATTACTTAATATGACTTAGGTCAGTGATGGAGGACAAGGTTTCTTTGAAAAAAAAAGAAAAAGAGTGAAATTTGTTTGCAAAGACACATTGAGAAAGAATGAGGCATAGCAATAGATTTCATTTTGTCAGCTTGCCTAAGAGTTCCCCTGAGTAGTACATTTTTGACTTAACCATAAACTTTTTACATTTAACAGATTAACATATCTGTCCTTCCTTTCTAGATGTTATAAATTTCATAGAACTTCAGTGTCTAGAAAATTTATACAAGGTTATAGAAAACTTTGGATACACACCTAACTGAAGTGGCTGCCTGGTATGACCTTAATATGTTGACGGTGCAGCCGTTTAGGAGACACAGACACCTATTCAGGACAAATAGAGACAAAAGCGGGGCTTGTAGCACGTGAAGTTGTGGAATCAAGAGCATGTAAATATAAGGAATAACTGTCAGATTTTTTGGTTTCATGACCATGATCAATCGATTGGCTTGTGTGATAATTTTACGCATAAACACCTTCGGCGTTTATGCAAATTATCACGCAAGCCAATCGATCACATCATGAAACCAAAAATTTAGACAGTTATTCCTTAAGTAAAAAACTTTAATTTAATCTGCTATTTATCTGCAACATTCTTTCAATCAAGGTGAGTTTATTTCTTGTTGAACTTTTGTTAACGTTGTTACCATGAGAAGGTAGTTTGCGGCAAGATGCAGTAAGCGTTGCATTGTTGGTCCAGAGGTTACTGCAGAAAAAAATTCATTTAGATCAATGTGCAAATTTCGAATTTTCTCTTTGCCTAGGCATTGCTTTAAAAGCTAGCAGTGACAAGCGGCGCTTTGCGCTGCTCGCTGCACTCTCTATTATTAACAGGAATTTATACCTCGATATCTCGAAGAGTCATTTATCACTGTTTTGATGGTCCCAAGTTCAGTTGATTAATTTTTTTTCTTCAAATTATGCATCTTGGGTTAGAGTTAGCTAAAATAGGGATCAAATTTTACAAAAACCTGTACTGTGGAATCATTTTAATTCGGGGGTCAATTTTAATGGGGGTCAATGTTCGTGGGCAAGCAAAATTTTGCTTGTTCTTGGGGACATAATTTCGTGGGTTACTCGTTTATAGGGTGTTTCAATGAATCAAGATGTTTACAAAATAAAAGTTTGTGGGGATGTAAGTTCTTGTGTAAGGGTGACCCATGAAATCCACAAACATTGGTCCCCCACGAACAATGATGATTCCACAGTATACAGGAAACACTTTTTCTTCTCAATAATTGCAAAGCCAAGTTAATCAAAATGATATTGAAGTATCCCCATGTTCTGCAGATTCAGAGACCCTTAGAGTAGGGATATAATATGGGGTCACAATTTTTCATGGGAATTTAAAAATCTTTTTGGGAAATCTGAAGAAAGTAGGGCTAAAATTACTCAGGTGAGTGTTGTTGCCCATGAGCCTCTTGTTTGACTTAATCGTTGTTGAGATGTTTCAAAGATATCTTTTGGGATTGGTATTATCGTAATGTATTTTCCCTCTGTAAGCTATTGTAAACTTCAGCTGGATTCATTGTGGGGAGAAAAAATGCTGTGAAAACCAAAAATAGGTCATGATGATCTCATTTTGAGGGATTTATAAGCTCCATTAGTTTCTGGGTTATATCTTGCAAGGTTTGAGGCATGAGACTATCAAACCTTGTCAGTGATTGCATCTTTGGAAAAAGAGATGTCACAAATTTGTCAATATTAATGGGACAAGTTTTATCCATCAGGCCTGTAGTACAAGGGGGAAAGGGGTAAAATATGTTACAATGACCTTATTTTTAATCATAGCACTGTATTCTCAGTAGTGTCCATGCAGGTCTTATCTTGTACATCAAGAATCCTTTGGATCATCAGCCCATGTCACCTCATCTGAATGGTTAAAGGTATGTTATCTGAACGGAAACAAGTATGTTATCTGAATGGTTACAGGTATGTTATCTGGATGGTTACATGGTTACAGGTATGTTATCTGAATGGTTACGTTATCTGAATGGTTACAGATATGTTATCTAAATGGTTACAAGTATGTTATCTAAATGGTTACAGGTATGTTATCTGAATGGTTACAAGTATGTTATCTGGATGGTTACAGGTATGTTATCTGAATAGTTATGTTACAGTATCTGAATGGTTACAGGTATGTTATCTGAATGGTTACAGGTATGTAATCTGAATGGTTACAGGTATGTAATCTGAATAATTACAGGTATGTTATCTGAGAGGTTACAGGTATGTTGTTGTTATACGATTCTTATTTTATTCTGGAGGTCTTTATGCATAATTTTCCAAGATTCTACAAGTGTAAAGTGAAGTTGCTGTAAATGGTTAAAGTTACTATTGTAAGAATGTCAAAATTACCTTTGCTCTAAAATGCAGTAATAATTCAGGCAGAATATGTGATTTTCAATGTAATGTACACTTGCATTTATGGTTTTTGTAGGGTTTGCTGATAGTCTCTTTCGTTAGCTTGTTCCAGTGAATATAGCCCTACAAAACAAGTCCCTAAAGAGGTTAAGTACAGACTTCTTATTAAGTTACACTTTATATGTATTGTTAATGCTGAAAAGTAATGCTAAACTTTTTTAGCTAGTTTAAAGAATTTAGAAGTCAGACACTTAAACAGAAGCTATATATTGATGCGTAAGTTGAGAGAATGATTAGTTTATTGTGAGAGCTTTTGTTTTGAATGTAGCAGGAGTTAAGGACATTGGCAAGGTTCCTGGTTATTGTATAGAATTTTTCAAGAACTTTTGGGTAGGTTTAAATGTACTAAAAAGGCTATATTCTGGATCGTTTTACCTACTAATCCAGCATTCTTTTTTAGATTTTGTCAAATTAGTGTTTTTACAATTCTTAATGCATTTCCTATGTAAAATGTTGATAAAAGGGACCTACATAAATTTTCACCATAATATTTCTTCAAAACCCATTTATTTCATACAGTTTTTGTATTGTATACATTATTGTAACTTCATTTCCTATGACTTCTAGATATTTTGGTTGAAAATGTATATATAGAAAAAAGACATGGACATACCAGCACCGATCATCATTTTTGAGTTGCGTCCCTTAACAGCTAAAATTGGTCAAGTGACTGGTTGATTGTTTTTATCATGTAATTGACTGAATTGATTGAAATACATTGTCGTAAAAATATTGGCATGGATTTATTTTTAACTTTTATTCGTAATTACTAAATGCTGATTCCTTCACACGAGCTAAGAACTGTTCTCAGTTGGCATGGTCGACCTACCTTTCAGCATATGTCACATCTTTGCCCTTCCCAGCATACTGAGCATAACTATGGTAAATGACGACCTGTTTGCTCTTTGTCCCTGAATACAATGTACAACAAAGCCATTACTACTTTTCTTTCTTGCTGTATAGAAGATTCTACCCGTTGAAGGAAGTACACGTGCTTTTGTTTACCTCTATAACATACGCTTTACTGGTTTTCACCGCTTAGAGAATTCTACACGGGAGATCACTCTCAATCACTATTTTACAAGTGAAAAAACCCATGTATTAAACCTTTTTTCTCCGGAAAGCCCTGACTTGCCAATGTCCTTAAGCCAAGAATGGTGGATGCAAAGTTGCATGTATTGTTTTTGGTTGATATTTTGGATCTCTCATTGGACAGCTGAATGAAAGACGTAGAAGCACAAAACGAACTGGAACAGGTACTAGTACATATACATGTGTTGTTAATAATATATATAAGTTTTAAGTTAAGAAAAAGTAAAAAAAAATTGCTTTAGACTTTTATGATTATGCAGAGAATTTTGTTAATATACTCTGTCATTCAGCAAAAGTATACAAATCACAATCCACTAGCAAGAATTCTAATCTAAAATGAGCATCTGTTATTTATTTACAAGAAAATAATAATTAGAATTATACAAGACAGTTTACTACAAAAAATGTACCATGCCTTTTTTGCATTATCTAATGTGGATCTGAATTTCCAATATAGAGTTAAGCATATAAATAAGGGTATAACTGTCTCGTTTGTTATTTATTACTGTTAATGTGATTAATAATGGTTGCAAACTGTTTTACTGGTGACATGTCAGCAAAGCCGGTGCAATGGATATTTGTGACTATTACATGTAAATCAGCATTAATAGTAGTAAATAATAATCAAGATAGTTATTCTCATTCTTATGCACATTATGCATTTTAATTGATCTTTCTATCATACTTCAGTGAGTTTTGCATTTTTGTTACATAAAATATATCATGAAACTTTTTTGCTTGATGTATTTTGTTTTTGCATCATTCTATTATGACATCACAATCGAAAGCTTTCATTCTCTTTAATGCTTATTTCACAGCCCCAAACATCAGTACATTAGTCAATCAAAATGCAGATTACAAAAAGAATTGCTTTAGAATTTGACTTATTCTCCCACAAACATATTTTTACAGGGTGACTAAAGGCACATGATTTCCCAACACTGGTTAGTGCTGGTAATTTTGACAAAACAG